TTGAAGAAACAGACAGAATCTACTTCTGATCATTTCCATTTACCTGAAAAGGTAAGTAACTAGAAATATGTGACCCGTTGCTATTATACTTTGAAAAAAAAATACATTTAAGATGTCTTCATCGTAATTAGTAAACAAACTTATTTAAGAAACGCAAGGGATATTGAGCACGAGGAACGCTTACCTTTTATTAATCTTAAATGTAAGGAGCTGTTAGTAGCAAGTACCCTGTTTAATAAAACTTAACCGAAAAGAACATTCACCATTGGCTTACCCGTTTATAGGCATTGATTGTTTCTTTCTGTAAGTCGTTTAGTAATCATGCTCATACTAGTTTAGACTCTCATGTTAAATAAACTCAACGTCAACAAGGACTTAGAGCGGCTCCTTGTCAAGACCGGTTTCCTCTACAGCTACGGACCCTTTAAAATCAAAGAGACTAGGTACCTCGTCATTTATAGTGATATGAAAGACGTGGTGTCTTTCTGACTGTTACATTATGTTTAGCTTAGTGTTTATTATCTTTACATGGTATAAAATAATGTCGCTTTTTTTCTTGTACGCTTAGATATTTTAAACTAAGCAACGGTTTTTAATGCGGTTTTCCCCAATAGAGATAGTGATTCAAGAGGAAGTTTTATACGTATAAAACGTGCATATTATGGTAGAGAAAATATGAGAATTTAAAAGATTTTTTGTAAAAAACATGTTTTTGGTGCGCTTACATTGCAAACGCTGACTACTTATACCATACAACATTTATCAAAATAATGTACTATTTTGAATTGATTGATTCTGAATTGAAGTTCGCCATGGTATATTTCTATTTCCTAAGGGTAAACCAAGGTAATAATTTTTATCTTTTTATACATTACAAAAAATAATGGGTAATTTACAAAGCTATTTTGAACAAAATAGTATTATTACTTATTCAAATAAATACGTTAGATACGTTGTCAATTTAATGTTTATCAAAATTGCATTTTACAGCATCCTATTAAAGTGAATATCTTAAGAGATACTAAATATATTCATACCTGAATAGAATACTTTTAATCTCCTAAAAATTATCTAATGTGATAATAAAGTTGTTGACATATTCAGAACGAATTTAAATATAATTGGCTGCACAATTCATCAAGACGTTTGCTCCAATAAAAAATTAAAAAGTGAAGTGACATTTATTTTGGCGCGCTCATTAGTGTGTTCGGATACACAGGGTAGCGCTCACGATTCAAAATGGCGTCGTTGGAATGACACGTTGATATATTACCACTAATTACTCAGAGCGAGGAGGTGTTTATTGAAAATAACTGCTGAGGTGACGACGAGTCTTGTCTGCTACGATATCTACGTCCGTTCAGAATGACTTCCTTAATATATTAAGAGTAACTATTATTAGTGTTCCTACTCGAGTCCGACATGTTCAAATTACTAATAGGCATTTCTCCTCAGAAAATATCTAGCCATTATTAGGTATGATGTTTATATAGAACTAGCTTTTGCACGCAGGTCCGCCGACATGTATGTCGGTTTTCGCGGTAATGCGTGACAAACAAACTTGCTTTCACATTTATAATATGTATGGATATTATTTATTTGTTTGTGGGGGGATAAAATAAGAATGGAATTGATTTCAATTATTTTGATTTACGGGAAAACGCGCTTCTAGTAATAATATCTTTAGATTGCGTCTTAAATGCGTGATTGCTATTCTATGATTATTATCTACACTAAAATTAAAGAAAATTAGTAGTACCCTTTTATACAACCATGGTACACAGCAGCACATCATATTTGGCATACCTAAGTACTTATTGTTTATATGCATATTCTTTCCTTTATTTTAAAAAGACAACTCCCGAACTGTAAATATATCCTGTGCACAGCTGTTTCGCAGGGGACCGGACCTTACAGAATTATATGAAATGGACACAAAGAACACCCAAAAACAATTTGTGGATCACACAAAGTGTACTCCCATCTGGGGATCGACTTTGTATTTGCTCCGTGGATCGAATCTACATCACTGAGCGCTGTAGGGTGGATAGAAGCGGCGAAGTGACCGCTTAAACCACTACGCCATCCCTGCAGTAATTCTTCTAAATCTACATACTACATCTAGAAAGCTACAATTTTTAAACAATACCTATGTGCTATAAAGGTAAAAATTATGTGAAACCAGCTACGTAAAACAATAGAAGTTCAGTATATACAAAAGTCTTTACAATAGCAGTTCAAGTTATACTGGGCAATGAAAAAAAGAAGGCATTCAAAATGGTACTATATTATTATACTCTGCTACAGTAAGTTTGATAATAAGAAAAACTATCAATAGGCTTACAATAATATAATTTACAAACACAGACTTTTCAATATGCAAGTGCACTAAATATTTGGCTACAAAACCCAATCAGTCAGATTTAATCGGCGCCATGTCAATTCAGTTCTAAGGCGTGTCATAGTTTTCTGTCTGTGTTGCAATAAATTAAATGGATGCGATGTAACTTGTTGACAGTCGGCTGTTGTTGATATTTCGGCAATCGAAATCTTGGCAATCGTATTATTTAGATTGTATTGCGACTAGTTACCTATTAGTTTGAGTGTTTAAATTCGAATACAAGTTCCATTATAGAAGCATTTTTGCCATTCTCTTCTAAGCCAATAATCAATTATCATCACCATTTTTCTGTCCTCTCAATTTTATAGGGGCCCCCTTAATTTCCAAGGGCCTGCCTGCTTCACCCCAATCTTCATTAGAAAACAAATCGTTTTTAGACGGGCAAGGGAAGACCGTAATATTGGACTAAGATCGAGAACAAGGGTTCGGCGAATTGAAGTCTTAGGTAGAAAAAAGGGATAGAAACATTTTTAGCTCGAAAATCCCGGGCTCTCGTTCCCGTATGACCCTCCTGTTGAGGACACCACAAGAACCAATAAATAGGTAACAAAACAAAACTTATAAAGCCATTTTACTATTGAAAATGATGTTTTGATACAAATGTAAATTCTGCTGACAAATCTAGGAAAATCTCTGTGCGACGACGAGATTGCGAAAGCGCAATCTTTTAAGTCCCTGCATATAAAAGTTTTAACTAGTCGAGAGTAGCCTAAACTTGCAGTTGCTCTTCGTGTCGTTATCCTTTTTTTTTTGTTGACGGAGTGGAAAATCCCTTCGGATCTCCGGCTCCTTGGGGATATAGGAGGCCAGGAGTATGTGGTGTTTCCACTAAAAACCAACCCGACGGCCAGCCCTGCTCTGGGGAGAACCCGGGCCATGTGATTTCAGGTCCCCCCAGATCGACACCGCACCTAACTAGGCCCCATCTCAGGGAAAGCCTGTGGCTTTTCCCTGCCTATCCCACTTTCAGTGCGATCAGGCTGCCATCCTATCTCCTACCGCAGCAGTTAATCTGCCAACAGAGGTCCCCACTCTCTGGCGGCCCGCGGTCCAGTCGGCTGCTCATTCCGCGGCCGACGTCTTCTTCGCTCGGGATCGGCCCTTTCCCGATCCCGTTCAGCGATCTCTTTCTGGAGCATTACAGCTTCACAGAAAGAGAGCACTGCGCCCCAGCCCTCCTCACCCGCCAGCATGGCAGTAATGATTGCTGGCGGGGACAAATCTCGTCCGATTTCATCGACCAGGACTTCGCGTTCAGACGGACATGCGGGTCAGTCTTCCAGCGTGTACTGGGTGGAGTCCCAGTTGGGCGTATCGTTATCCTAACTACAATTATTGTTATAAATGCGAAAGGGAGTTTGTTTTCTTCTCAACATTTTTGTTAGAGGTAAAGAAACAGACATACGGACGTAGATTATTCTACTTTTCCAAGAAATTTTAATTGATTTACAAAATCTGGGATGACAAGACGGTACCTGAGGACCATCCCATATATTTTGAATAATGCAACTTTGACAGAATTAAATATTTAGTGTAACAACTGGTTTTAACAAGTTAGTTTTTCTTAAGATAAAACACTAACGTAAAAATCATACAAGGAACAGTTTAACGTTTGAGAAACAATATAAATTAATTTTACTAAGTACCTACTATGTATCTATATATATTTATAATCTGTACTAATATTATAAAGAGGTAAAATTGTAAAATTTAAATGTAATCTTTGAAACTACTGAACCGATTCTATGCATTCCTTCACTACTACGTAGCTGCATTATTCCTGAGTGCCATAGACTATAAATTATATTCATATCACCCAAAATAGCGACGACTAGTATTTAATATGATTTAACACAACTACGAGTAACTATCGACGGAGAATTACGACTGTGAAATGATTTGTTTTTAAAATGGCATCAAAAGCACTATCATCAAATTAATTTTATTTATTTATTTATTAGGCTTACCAACAACTACTTATACTAATACAATTTTCTTTTATATTACAAAGCTACATACATATGCCTTTTACAGGCAAGTATAGCATGCGCTAATTATTTACAGCTAATAACGTGAAGTTATACAGTTACAAACAGTGATTATTGCCTATGCCACTTTAAAACAAAAATGGTAATTTAACAGTAACAGAATCAGCGGGATTTGAGCTCACTTACTGGGTAAAAATAGACATGGGACAAAATCACAGTTAACTTTGAATGAACTGTATTTGTATATTACGTGTTGTTCCTAAAATGCTGTTTTCAGACGATGCATAAAGACCCTATTTCGCCTATTTAACAGTAAATCTAGTAATTATTTATTATATGTAGCTACCATTCTCTACATAATAATTTAAAAAACACTAGATTTATTGTTAAATAGCGTGTGAAAACAGCCTATTGGCAACAACGCGTGAGTAAGTAGCAACCCTAAAATATCGAATAATAAATCACAGTTCATCCACAGTTTACTGTGATTTTGTCCCATGCCTAGTAAAAATGCAACGAAATAATTGCTTAACACCGGTTTTCTGTGAAGCCGTACTTCACCGTCACAATATAGATAGAAATCAAACACATTTATTCCGTTAATTTTGCAGGAACGTGTTCTTCTCGGGGTAAACGCGCAAGAACAGCATTTAGCGCGCAACAGATCAAGAGCTTAGAAGCTGAGTTTGAAAAAAACCGTTACCTTTCCGTGGCAGCAAGGGGACGACTGGCAAGACAGTTACGACTCACTGAAACACAGGTGATTAGAATGTGTCATAGACAATGATACTATATACTCTGACGTCAACAGTTAACCGATTAGAATGGTCGTTTATTTACTAATAAATTACTATTACTATCGACTCATAGCACTTGCATTAAAATCCTTAAATAGATGTCATACAAAAGGCGAGGGTATTAGGTAGTTGTCTCCTCAAGATGGTGTTTTTTTTAAGACATGAAAGTAAATTGGAATATACCTTTATATGGGAGGGAAATCTTCGAATAGTGAGTCATTTACATATGGAACTTTAGTTTAGAGTAAATAAAACTAAATTTATTTTTCTGCATGATCGTTCTTAAGTACACTCTGTTCTTTCTTACTTTATCACATATTGTTACTTAGAATGCCTACATTGATAAAATAACATTTTAAAAACACACGGCTCTTAAATAAGATGTCACTGGAATCTATAATAATAACAAATTCACAGCAACAAGCGCTTTGATCTTTCTGGATGCTAGTCAGCAATATTTGCACAACTCTCCTTTGAAATACGATGTCTTCAGTGTCAAGGTGTTTAACGATTCGCGGGACCCCAATTCGAATAGTAATCTGTTATACATAATTCAAAAGCAAATAAAAACAGTAACTCTTACTCGAGTAAACTAAAGAAAACATTTTGTTTCCTACATAGAATTAAGATGCAATGCAATAAAAATTATCATGTCCTATATTTACAGATAAAAATATGGTTTCAAAACCGAAGAACAAAATGGAAGAGAAAATATACGAATGACATCGAGTTACTCGCTCAACAGTATTACAGTAGTCTTGGTATTGTCAGCCCGCGGCCAATGTTCGTCGGCGACCGTCTCTGGATCTTCAACTACCCAAATCGAGTCCCACCTACTCAACAACAACAGTGGATGAAATCTTTAAATCATATGAACTCACAAAACCAAATTATCGACAGAACTAGTATGTTCAGAACATTACCAAAACCAGATATACCTATCATACCTCCGAGTGTGTATCCAAACGATCGGGTTTACATGGACCGTTTGAATTTGGCGGGAAGTGCAAATGTCAAAATTGCTACTCAAAATCGCGTTTTGCCACGAGAGATTTATAACAATATGGCTCAAAGAAGCCTCGATGTGTATAAAAATAATATATTAAGTCACAGTAGCCCTCCCCAGGAGTCGAATGTTGATCATTTGAGAAGATTGGAAGAAAACTTTAGTATTTAAGTTTATAGAATAGCGAGTATTTATATGTATTGTATTATCTGTAAGTAAAATTAAACGTAAAACTAATAATTATTTTTTATTTTGCTCCAAGAGGATAGGTATCGAAAATAGATTTTACACATGACATGCATTTGTATTTACAGAACTGAAGTAGATACATATTCAATAAAGAAAAATAGAAATGACCTGCTCAAATTAGGGTTGCCAACTTTACTTTACATAGGCAAAAAAAAAGCATTTGAAAGAAAAAAAAGGATTTGTTGTTTTTATAGTTATTATTGCCTTAAAAACGTATTTCTGTGTGCTTTCAAAGCTTGTATGACAATCAAAATTTAAATTTAAATAAATAAACAATCCGTTTATAATTAAATTTATTGACGCTATAATTTATTAAATATCGTTACCCTTAACCCTTTCTCGAATGACTAAGCTTGATTTCTCGCTTGAATGCTATGCTTATAAGAGTTATTTTATAAAAAGGCGAAAATATACTCAATCATTATGTAGAAAAAGAAGTTTTCTATTCCTTGCACCGATGGACCTTGCACCTACCGACTATTACTTTTTCCAAAATTTAGACAACTTTTTAGTGGGTAAAAAATTCAATTCCCGAGAGGCAGTACAAAATGCCTTTGAAGAGTTTGTTGCCTCCCGTCCAGCTGATTTTCACAAGAAGAGCATCAATAAACTGCCAATGCGTTGGCAAAGATGCGTCGATTGCATGGGTGATTACTTCGAATAACAGAAATAAAAAAGTTTGAAAAAATAAGTACTTTCACTCATTGCATACAAAACGGCAATTTCATAGGTAAAGACCTATTATTAAAGGGTGGCGAAAACATATCAAAAGTTAATTGTGAGTTTTGAATAATCTTTTGATTTTAACAAAAAAATAGTTATCTAGCCAACGGCAAAAGAAATAAAAGAGTTTACCTCTCCGACTCTTAGTTGCATCGTGAGTCCTCTACACAAATTTTAAGATTTAAGCTACAACAGCTTACATGAGCTGCTCTCACATATCACAACCGACGTGCTTGTCCCTTCCTTACTAGGCGTCTTCGGGACTATTATTGACAGAGTGGTAGTTCAACAAGGATAATTAAAAAACTTACTGTATTAAACATTGCTCTGGACTCTTTCTATTGGTCCAGTCCACTCTTCGATTGTTAAAAACCATATGAAAACGTTGAAAACTATACTTTTGGAGTATATCAGTAGCAGAATAATAAAAAAAATATAGGCAGATTAACGCCAGGATGGATTATAGTAAGCGTAGACGCATTGTTCTGTGCCACAGAGAATACATCAACATCACCTTGGCAATACTGTTCAAAGTTCAAACACTTTGTTTAGAACAGCACGTTGATGGTTCTACGACCGTCAAGTACCTTATAGTAGGGGAGCCCATGATGCTAAATGGGGATTTACTCGAGCATCATGGGGACCTATTGCATTTAAAAGATTAGGTAACAGCATGAATAAAAGTTATTAAATGTTTCCACTTTCAACGGTGATAAAAGCTTCTACAGGTTTTAAAAATGTAAGGTGAGAAAATCGAAAAAAGAAATCCACGCTCCAGTAAATCTCGAAATCCCTTCTAGGAGCCCCTACTATTATCTCCCTGTGTATGTTTAGCTTAAGTCCAGATTCATTTAAATTAAAAAAAGGTTAGGTGGTTCTTAACTAGAAACTGATTACAACTATAGCCACAATAAAAAGTAGTTTGTAACAACTCTATTTTGCTATCGTGATAAAGTTCTTCAATTCAAAAAAATTGAAACTTGAAAATAATAATATATAGTAAAGTAATTCTTCTCTTAATTTCAATTTCATGAGAATAAATAATTAACTATGACCAATATATCATTTAAAAGAAAATAACTGCTTCAAAAAATGTGGAACGCTTCACGATTTTGCGTGTCATCCTTGCGCAGGGGCCATGCTAATCTTCTCTGTATCGTTCCAATTTTAGTATATGTACTGCCGAAGCAAGTACACTTACTCGATGCAAATTTTTGTATATATCCTTACTTTTTATGTAAACTCTACTTGTGTGAGTTAGTATTTTTTCATTTTATACACAAAATTTCAATCGTTTATGAAAAATATTAGGTTTACATACATCAACTAAGATAATTAATCCTATTTCAGTTTAATTTAGTGTCATTTTCACATTAATAAAAAAGTGTTTAATAAAAAAATGGTTTCTAAAAGGACGTTCTCGTAACAGCGACATCTATTTACTTCATGACAAAACATGATGACGTTACAACTGTTCTCAAGCTGAGATTAAATATAATGTTTACTCTTACAACTAGAGGGCGCTTTTACAAAACTTAAATTATTGTTTTTTCTAAGCATTGCTTGTCAACCAGCACAGGGTACAGTATAGTCCATAGACAGTATAGTCTGTGGTTTCAGTTGACTGACACCTATCGCTAAAAAAAAATAGCACATAGGTACAGAAGAAGAGTGAAAGAGACAGAAAGACAATATCTCTTTAATCTGTGTATCAGATCAGATAATATATAGTGGCGAGCGGAGAAAAAAATGTTTTGTAAACATAACAAAGAGATATTTTATCCAGATAAAAAAAATATTACTCAGTGATGTGAGAAACATTGTAAAATGACGGTTACATGTATAGTGTGTAAAAAGTTTGCCATTACTGGCATTCTCATCCGTAGTTTTCACAAGTAAGACAAGTCAAATAAATCTGTTTACTAGTGATGCGCAAAATGTGTCACTGAGCTGAAAAGATTGATACATATCATTTCGCTCAAAAGATATATATCACTCATCTAGCTCACTAGCTCATTTAGCTCACTAACTCATTTAGCTCACCAACTCATTTAGCTCACCAACTCATTTAGCTCACTAGCTCATTGATCCGATTCAATTGATTGGTCTCTCAATTAATTTATTTCTTCATCTAAGCCTTTAAGCCACTTTAAGCCTCTCTCGCCATACAAACCTTTCTTTATTTTCATATTAACCTAAATTCAGTTTTTGAAACTACATTCTTAACCTTTTTTTTAAAATAAAATTTATTCATTTTGATAAGATTACATAATTATTAACACCCTTTTATACAATATTTAAAAAAAGAAATTATTTCTTGTACTTTTTTTAGGTTGTATAATAGAATCCATACATAATTTGATTTTCCTTGTACTTGGCAGGCTTAATTCTTAAGTAATATTAAACTTTGATCCTATAGAAATAATGTACATTTTGCATAAAGAAACTTGCGTGAACTCAACCATCATCTATCTCACTCATTTATCTTTAGTCTCACTCGCTCATGAAACAAAGATCGGCGTCGTTGAGCTAGTGATCTAATGATCTAGTGAGCTAGTACTGAGTTACTGATATATTCGGAGCTAGTGGGAGTGAGTGATACATTTTATCGTCGTGAATGATATATATCTTTTATATCACTCATTCAGGAGCTACACAACTCTACTGTTTACAAAATATATCTTAGTGAGACAGTTTTTGTGTAAATATTTATATTTAAGTGATTGTACCCAAGTTACAGTTTTTCATTATTCTTATAGGTTTCCCAGTGACGGTGTTCTACGACATAAATGGATTTCTGCATTAGGTCTTTTAAAAGTGCCAAAAACTGCTACAGTCTGCAGTGATCACTTTGATGAGAAATCATTTCATCAAACAGATGGATACACAAGAGTAAGGCGATTATTGGCAAACGCTGTTCCATCAACATGGAAAAAAGCAATTCCTTGCGCAGAAGAAAAAGCTTTAGGTACAATCCAAGTCGATGAAAACATTACAAGGGCGTGTGGTGGAATTGGTTGTCATAACCTAGCAGTCCACTCTCTTGGTCTCGTTACCAGTCCTACGAACAATTGTCCAATTGTGTTTGTGTGTACATGTGAAAGAAATGAAAATTTCAATATAGTACACACAAAAAATTCAATGCTGCTTAGTATGCATACAGCAGGTACTTGTCAGCGATCAATGAGGATAAATGAAAATTCATCTATGTATAATGCTGGTAGTGAAAATAACTCCAACAGGTACATCATTTTTTTTATTTACCATTTATAAAAATGTAATTAAGCAATAACTTTATATTTTTTTTTTAGAAAAGTTTGTCAGCTGAAACAAATCTTGAGGTGCCATATAAAAAAACGAAAGAAGAACAAAGTTCAGGAAAAGGATGTAGTAAAATAGGTTTCATGGATGGTTATGTAAAAAAATACATAAGTAGAGAGGACTTTGTATCTGATGAAGCTTGGCAGCGATTTTTAAGGTTTAAAATATGCAAGGAATTGAAAAATAAGGCAATTCGTCAACAGAAAATTAGAGCCCAGAAAAAAATAAGCAACTTCCAGGCAATGGTAACAACTTTTAAAAAAAAGAGGCACAGGCTGCTCCGGAGTCCTTAAAGGTTAAAAATATGTTTTAGTAAGACTGAAAAGAGTAAATATAACAGTAATGGAAATTATTTGATGAAATACTGTCTCAATAAGTTTTCTAACAATGAGTTATCTGGTAGTCTGAGTATTTACCAATTGACTACACGGATGGTGTAGCGGTCGCCACGCGGCTTCCTACTGTATGAATTTCATGTGTGTTTGTAAAGTCTCCTGCAAAACCAGATATAAATATATTACTAATCTGGGAGCTGACTTAAAAAACACTGGTGATTTATGTATAAATATACAATTTTTGCAATATATTTTAAACAATTGATCTTATGACATTTCATTTTTCTAAATGTATTATAAGTCGCGACACGGTATTTGCTTTATAAAAGTGTGTCAAAAAAGGCTAAAAATAAACTGAATAAATTATTCAAATTATGAACAGGTCAATTTTTACTATATTGTTCCTCTTTCTTTTATTGTAGTAGGGCTTACCTGATCACATCAAGGAGTTGATGACTAGAATGAAGAATAGTCATCCCACACGAAATAGTCGATTTTGTTTCAAAAATGGTCAACTACTGCTCAGATAACAGCAAGCAGCTCATTTTTAATATAACCTTTGATGAAAAAAAGTCAATTTCTTGATGTGTATTCAACGTGATATTTCGGGTAAAAGTATTAGTTTAAAAAAAACTTAAGAAAAAAATCGTTTCGCGGCAAATTATTTTTTTATTTAAATCGCCCAGATGCGTGACAGCCGTGAAAACGTAAAGAAAATGAGAGTTGCTGAAGCCATTTTTTTATTGTCGTAGGATGCTTTCTTACCGATCGCGCACGGTTTTTCTGAAACACCTATTTTTAAATTTTTGCAAATTCTGGGGAAACATAATATTATTTTGCGACGATTTTTTTTACAAAAAAAAAACAGTAGGAAATAAAACATAGACATGTTGAATTTCAGAACGAGAAAATGAAGTTGTTCTTTGCAGCCATGCACGATTATACGTCCATGGTTGCAGCACATTTTTTGAATTCGAACACGTCTTGAGCTTTGGAATATCTTGAAAAAGATTTGAAAATTTCTACTTATCTCGGTGGGTGCCTTGCCAACAGCAGTTTTGCTAAACATTAAACGATATTTGTGACGTTCTTAATACAAAGAATATTCTTTTCTAAAACGCCGGGACGTAAGGCTGTCAAGATGGAGAATTTATCAGAACTCAAATTCAGATTTAGTGGTTAGATAGAATATATCGAAAGTTTAAAGATTTTTGGCAATACACATAGGTAGTAGGATACATATAGGTAGGGAAGCTATATGTTATAATATAGTGCTAAGATAATGATGCTGCTGCGTGACGTATTTGTCATTATTAAAAAAATACGGGCAGTCATACTGTACGAAACACTGAAACACTCTCGGAAACAAAAAAATTAATAAATAACTACTAATGTTTTAATGCAACTATTCACACAAGCTCAAAACCAGAAGGCTAATTCTCGTAGTAATTTTTTTTACTAAGACTAGCAGATTACCGATTCAATTTTCGGTTATAATACGATATAATCCCGTTGGATGTTTAATAGTTTACTACGAAACTACATTTTATAACATGTCCGTATAGATTGAGGAGCCATTTCAGATTTTAAACGGAAACCCCCCTTATTTAGTAAGTGAGGAAATAATTTTGTAGGACAAATCCTGAAATTTGTAGTAAGATATATCCAAAGTTACATCAATGTAAAAGTGGCTCCTCCAATCTCAATAAAAAATATATTTTTGAAAATTTTGTATCATTTAGTAGTAATTGTGTGTTAGTATAAATAAATGATACAAAATTTTCAAATAATACTTTTCTCACTTTTTAGTAGGCACTAAAAAGTTAGAATAGTATTGCATATTCTTGAATATCAAAAGTACTGAATTCAGACTCAGTACTGTTGATATTCCAAGATTACGAGAATTTGCCTAAACAGTCCATCGTGAGAGTGAGCGTTTTCGGTCTTTAAGCGTGACATTATACAATTAGTTGGTTCATGTTTCTCATTGACTTTCGTTTAATATAACTAATATATTTTATTTAATTGTTTTCCAAGCACTTTCAATGCCAAATGTAAATATTTAGAACTTTGTTCAAAATACATTTATAGTTTTCTAATTATTATTATAATTATTAGAGAATTAATAATTTCCAATAACTATTGACTGACTAACACAAACAACAATTTAGTACCTATCAATAAATTGTAATATAATTGGGAGGAAATTACGCTTTGTGCTGTCTATTCACATAAGAATAAAATAAAACAATTTATAATTTTAAATACATAATTTATTTCTATGGTACAAGATATTTCAATGATTTGCCGTTACAGAATTTATAATTGCAATATCAAAACAAAATGTACATTGTAGGTTGCCGGAACACTTACGTTTATTTACTGAATATTACTCATTTTTATAACAATTTAGTTCGTAAATATAAAAAATCTATGTCCCACGCTTGATTGTACGGATTATATAAACACTTTAAATCATCGGTTTGTATATAAATAATTTCACCAATTTTTTCCTAAATGTCCATTTCCACGCATTCGAGACACATTTTATTTATTTTTCTCAATAAAAACATAAAAAATAACAAATCGCACATTCATTTCCTGCTTTTACACTTTTTTTAAAGACAGTTGCCATAAACAATATTCTTAATAAAAATTAACGTTAATAATGCGTTCGAAAAGCACTTTAGGCATAATTTATTGTCTACAATACACTTCATACGAAAGGGACGAAGTGAAATGAGGTAATGTTATAAACGGTGCTCGAACCATCGCTCAGGAGACAAAGAAAAATTCAAATTTTGAATCTATGTTACAACTTCGTACAGCAACTGTCTGGCCGCCATTTTAGATTTAATTATGGGGCTTACAAATATCAAATGCACGTTGTTCTGTCTGTTGCATGTTGTGTTTATATGTATTATACTGTATATGCTATGCGCCAGGCTTCGCTTACAAGTCCTTATCGACACTTCACTTTACTGCTGCGTTTCACGGAGTGATGCTGTGTTACCTGAGGACAGAGACATGCCAATATAGACATAAATTTACACCTCTTTATATCATCAGTAATTTAGTATAAATTTCCTGCATTTTATGCTATACCTGGCAGATTTATCTCTAAATTTTATTATTTATCAGATAACTCATGGGTGGTGCAGATATTATGCGTGAGCCAATTCCCACTATTTAAGGTGAGTTTTTTTTTAAGGCAATTCCTGTACTAAAACTATATCTCGTGTCTCGGGGGACTTTACAAACATACATGTAACGGACACAAAAAACACAGTGTTGTCCCATGTGATGATCAAACCCACAACAGTCAGCGCAGTAGGAAGCCGTGAGGTGAGGTGTTTGTAACCTAACTCCTCATAAACGGCTGGACCGATTTGGATGAAACTTTGTGTGTATATTTCAATGGGTTCCTAAAACACAATCGGACCCGGTAGGTGGCGCTACTGTCGGTATGTCACCTAGCGAATGAATTGTAAGACGGTACCTGGCTAGCTGTCGTCCTGCAGCGAGTTGAAGCGGTTGCCGAGCGCGAGCGGCTGGCGCGTGTGCGCGGGGTGCGCGGAGGCTCCGCCCGCGGCCGTGCTCCAGCCGCCCGCGCCGCGCTTGCCCGCCGCGCCCAGCACCGGGAAGTAGTCGTCGTTGTGGATGTCCGGCGCGTGCTTTTGCTGTACATACACATACATTCATAATAATAACCTCGCACGTCTCCCTCATCTGATTCCACACTAGGCAGAGCCTGTACTATGGTAACCAGATTGCTGATAAACATACTTATATAGTTCTAAATACATGCATATCATAGATAAATTTCACCCAGACACAGAACAAACGATCATGCTCAATACACAACATTTTTCCTGGGTTGGAATCAACCTTGATGACCTGGCTGTTTCTATACATAAAAATATTACTATTAAAATATTTACAAAGGTATGTAAGCATGTTTATCTGTGCAGTACACGGTATGTAATCATAGAGGGAACAAGGGCGATATAGGCAACGAGAGAGATGGATAATAGATAGATCACTTTATCTCTTCCTAGTCGAGCTCTGTGGTTAGCTGAGAAATATGAGGCGTAAATAAGTTGCCAATCGTAGCTTAGCTAACAGAGACAGAGGGAACTTTCGGGCATCCAAACTTTCGGGCATCCACCTTTCTCGTTGCTATACCCCGTGTTTCCTCTATGGTTATATCTCTATGGTACAAAAAAAATATTAAAGATAGCCTTAATCTTTTTTTTTTATGGCAGACGGGGCAAACGAGCAGACAGGTCGCTGATGATAAGTGACTCCATCCGCCCATGGACACTCTGCAACTCAAGCGTCGCAAGTGCATTGAAGCTCTTTCATTCCCTACCCGTAAAATCTGTGGAAAGGCGGAAGGTTTGGGCTCCGGTAACCTCAACCCCTCAGCGAAAAGCAAGAGAAGAGCTGCTTAACACCGGTTTTCTGTAAGCCTGGAAGATACCAGGAGCGGTAACTCCGTTCGAGCTTCGCATATATTAACCAGCGCTATGTAATGTGTTAAAGTATTATTAACATGTGGAGGAACGGGTGTCATGTCCCTTCAACACAAAGGTAGGATCCTCCGACCAGGCGAGGTGATCATACCTGGCGGCGCGCTGACCAAAGGTTAATGTTGAAAAGTTGTTTATATGCTAATCGGCGAGGGAATTCTTCATATCGCGATACAGGATTAGTATTTCTCATTCGGGAGTTACTCCGTAGTTCGTTGTGTCTTCGTTTGATGACGCTGTAGTATGTTTTTGTTACTTTGTATGTTGGAGTCGTCACAAACATCTAAATTATTATAACTGCTAATGTCAGGAAGTAATCCTCGACTCATTGTGTAAGCATAGCGTGTCTCTTACCTGAGTCCGGCGCGGGTTTTCGACAGGCCGCTGACGAGAAGAAGGCGGCACGTAAGTGGTGGGTTTGCTCTCACGAGGCTTCTCCTCTACGGGAGGCGGGGGCGGAGCCTCCACCTCCGCCGGTTTCTGCAACAACAATTTCATAGATAGCAGAAAATTAAAATTGTTTATATGTAACATATATGTACATTGAAATTCAATTTGATATTCTGAGTAAAATAATAAAATTCGATCTTACTACAAGATAAAAATACTAAATCAATAATTCAGTGGATAAAAACACGCAAATATGTTAAAATATATTTGTGTTAAGTTTTATATTTCTTTAATTTTTCACGTATACATAACTTTCTCTTGTTGTTTCTATTATATCCTCTCTTCACTTATAGATTAGCTGGAAGAGAACTCAACTATGGGTAAAGCTCGCTTTTGTCGCCTTCTTATGTATTATTTGTAAACGTTTGTGTACAAAAAAATATGAAATATTGTAAACTTATTGTTAAACCTGTTTCTAAAGTGATCCCATCCTATTCATCTATTTCTAAACACAGAATAGCTTACAAAAGAAGTTACTTTTGCAAGCTATTGTAACAGCTAAGGTTTGTATTTGGATTTAAAAAAAAAATTAAGCATTATTCCAGTTCTAGGAATTTCACCCAACTGCACAAGAAAGAGGCCAGTATTCACATTATTTTTAATCTTTCATATTTCTGTAGAACTTGACCTAATAAGCCGCAAATCTTCTATTGAAAATAAATAAATAATACACATACAGGCTTATTCCATGGTCCCTTGACTTTGCCACCCTCGCCGGGGCCTCCAGCTTCTTCTGACGCTGAGTCCCGTCCGGACTCAGGCGCCCCATTCCCTCCCTGCAACACCTGGATCTTCAATCCTGTATAGTCCTTGACTGGTTCCTCATACTCCTTCCATTCTTCTTCCTCCTGGAATAAAAAAAAAACTACAATTAGTCTACCATCTCCACTATATATTAAAGGCTGACGAAGTGAAGTTTGACTGCCTTGGTGGTGCAATGGTAGCGAATGCGACTGCTGTGCTGAGGGCTCACATAACTACGCAGGATAACAGCACTGCAAAGAGAAGGAAAAGTTACACAAACCAAGGGGTCTGGCCAGCGTGGTATGATAGGTACAACATGGTATAACCTCCTTAAGTAAGGCCTTTCTAAGGAGGGGCCTACGTCTAGAAGTGGACTATAAAAGGCTGTTGACAACGACACCTGAACAAATTGACCAACTGTAACTCGAGGTCCTCAAATAAAATTCCCGTTTTACTCTTTATGGGTCTCATGATACGAATAGACAACGTCGAGGGATACTAATTCATAAGTTTTTGGCAACAAAGTTGTAAATCCCATGGCAGATTTCTATGACGTTGGAAAACTTAATATTTTTGTAGGTTACACACCCTACCTAAATGTGATTGATTTTCCCAGTCTCTTCTAGTTACAACGTAAACACAACACACATTTTCGATAGCAACTGTCTATTAATGTATTCCGACGTGTTTTTCAAGTAAATACCTTTGACTTTAGCAAGGGAGAATAGGTCACATTGAGAATAATAAGTCCATATAGGATTAATGTATTCACATTATTTTTAATATTAAATTGAACAACAGCACATAGATTCGTCAATTGAATATCTGTAATATTGAAAATAGAAAGGTACCTACGAGTAGAACTAGCAATTTTTAAAAATATATCTTAGTTCTTTTTAGAGATACGTGGCGATATACATTTCGAATTCTACATTTAAAAAACAGAAGCACCTGTTTCTTTTAAAGTTCTATCAGCTAGATTTTTATAAAGAAGATAGTATCAGAATTAATCAGAACCATCCTTCAATCGAAGCCACCTCTATACTTACTCTTAACCCCCGACGCAAAAACGACGGGGTGTTATAAGTTTGACGTGTCTGTCTGTGGCATCGTAGCTCCCGAACGGATGAACCGATTTTGATTTTGTTTTTTTGTTTGTTTGTAAGGTGAATTAGTCGGGAGTGTTCTTAGCTATGTTTGAAAAAATGTGTATGCCGCCGTTTTGTAGCGGGCATACATATTTTTCCACAACTCCCTTGATATGGATATCAAATAAAAGAGCTGATTAGTAGAATTCTATACACTATGATAAATTTCAAATCATAGATGCGTGTCGGGGGTTTCTTAATATTTAATTTTCTAATCATCATTCAAGTCTAGCATTTAAAACAGTCTGCATGCATCGCATTTCACGTAGAGTTGACATTAGCACCGCTTACCGCTTGCAATCAGGCGGGTCTTGCGGTAGATTTTAAATTAGTTGTACAAACAAAAATTAAATCAAAGGTATGCAGCATTTTTACACGTCGCACGACGTCACTATTAGAAATGCAATGTATGAACATTTTTATGTATTTACTGAACAGACCTAGTTTAGATAAAAAACTAATATTATAAATGCGAAAGTGTCTGTCTGTCTGCCTGTCTGTTACTCTTCACACTTAAACCGCTGAAGCGATTTAAATGAAACTTGGTATAGATATACTTATTCTAGAAATCATCCTTTAAGAGGGTGAAAAGGGTGAAAAGTTTGTATGGGGAATCAGTAACCGGTGAACCGATTCAGATTCAGAAATTTGGTATGGAGAGTTTGTTGAGAACATATGCTTACGGCGAGTAGTTATGATTATAATTTGAAGTTTATATGTCTTTATTATTATTAGTCTGATGACCGGTAAATGCGTTAATCAATTATACAATTAATGAACTTTAACTTGTAATTCCTCAAACTACAGGTTGAAATTGAATATTTTCATATTTTTTTTGTAAACATATCTCCCGCATTAGAAACATATCATGTGTCGCGGGGGAATTTACAAACATACATGAAACAGACACAAAGAACACCCAGACTCAGAACAAAAATTCGTGGATCACACAAAGTGTCGACGTAGTGTAGTAGCAAGCGGCACGCATGGCGACCGCTTAAACCACTACGCCGTCAACTGCCGTATACCGTCAACAACACTATACGTGCAGTCAATCATTATTGCATTATATATTTAAATACATGTATATATTATATATTTAAATACATTGACTGCACGGATGGCGTAGTGGTTTAAGCGGTCGCCACGCCGCTTCCTACTACGCCGAGTGTTGTGGGTTCAAACCCCACATGGGACGACACTTTGTGTGATCCACAAATTGTTGTTCTGAGTCTGGGTGTTCTTTGTGTCCGTTTCATGTATGTTTGTAAAGTCCCCCGCGACACAGGAATATATTCCTAATGCGGGGGTTGTCTTTTTAAATAAAAAAAAAAAAAAAATGTAGTTGCATTTGTAGTAATATTGTTAAGTGATTTTGTTTGTTGGTTACGCTTTCACGCCTAAACCGATTTAAAAAATTCTTACACCAATTGAAAGCTAATTTATCATCAAGTAATATAATATATCATCAAATATAGTATAGTATATATATAATCAATATAGTATATATATCAAGTAAAAAGTAGTCACTTTTTACCGCGATAGCCGACATAGCGGGCGTAGCCGCGGGCAAAAGATAGTTATCAATTAATGAGAGATGAGATGATAATTATAAGGTTCCTTTTATTGAAAACGTGTATTATAACTTTTAATTAATTCTTATTAAGGGGGTATTCTCCGGTCTAGATTTTAGAGCGAAATTCGGGCTTCTAGATTAGAATACTCCAATGTTCAAATTATTCAGTATTCTAATTTGTGGTCAAATCTTTATTCAACAATATTTAAATAAAAAGAAACCAGAAATGTGAAATGCTGACATAACCCAAGTGTTCATTAAAAGTGTGTGTATTAATAACCTCGATTATCACAAATTAATTATAACTTAATTACATCCAAATGAGTTACCAATTATCATAATTACTGAACAATTTTGCATCACTTAAGTTATTTCCTCGAGTCTTGTAACTTGTTGTATAGCATTATATTATTGTCAATAGAATTATATGTGTATTAAACATAAATAAAGCTGTATCAATAATGGACAATATTGAAACAAATATAATACTTAGGACAATTATCCTCAAGTTATAACAAAACACATTTCATTATACAGACTTATGATTGGCCAGTACTACTTTATATTTATTTATTTATACTTCCTGCAAATACATTGCATAAGGCGGATTTAATGCCATAGGCATTTTCTGCCAGTCAACCTTTGGGTGATGCAGAGATGTGATGTTACAGATGAGATGAGATTTTAAAGGCTTACTAGCAATCGAAATTAAACCCTCCAGCTAAGCTAAATTGCTTATTAGGAGTGGGTTTACGTCGGTAGTGTACTGGTCAAGATTCGAACCCACGAGCTCTTGATCGCAAGTCAAACGTCTTTACCACTACCGCTGCTTTAAAATTGTAGTCATTTGCAAGATGTTATACTTTATAAGTACTATATAATACTATGAATATATAAAACATAAACATACATCCATACATATATGCCTGCAATGATGAAGACACGAGTGGTTATTCTGATGACTCCATCAACAAGTCTCCATAGAGCTTGCTTTGCTATGCCTAGTATAATTATATCCTTTGTAATATAAAACTAGCTTATGCCCGCTTCGATCGCGTGGATTCTTGGATACTTTTCTGAGAAAAAAATGCCTGAGTTAGTCCTTATATAAACAGCTAACTGGGAGTAAAATATTATCAAAATCGGTCCAGGCGTTTTGAAGATTACCCGAACAAACAGATAGACAGTCTAAACATATTTAAACTGGTTTTTAGGCAACGTATCGTGCAAAACCTTCTTATTTTTAAATTCTTATTTATTTTAATCTTAAATTTTATTTATTTTAATCTTAAATGTTTTCATTTTAATTTCTCGAATTGTAATACCAAATTATGTAAGTTTTATTAAGGAATAAACGGGGCTTTATTATTATTATTATTATCGTGCAAAACCGTGTGAGTATGAAATAAACCTATTCTTTTGAACTTACCAATAGACACTTTAATTTTATTTATTTGTATATATAGTATAATAGAATAAATACATCCTTTGTATTATAAAAAAAAAACAAAAGACATTCAAACAAAACAGACAACTGGTGTTAAGTAGTTATTATGTCGCTTTTCACCGAGTGGTTAACTCGGTGGTGGTGAGAAGGTTACTCGAGCCAAATTCTACAATGGAAAGGACTTAAAGGGCAGCACATGTGACTCACAAGTTGTAGGTGTTCATAGGCAGCAGCAGTCACTATCAAGTGACCAGGGCCTCAATTCTGCTATTTAATGTTCACGCCAAGCCACTGTCATACCACTGACACGCTATTGAGATGCCATCAAGTGGCCATTGGCATCGGTATAAATATCGGTAGTCTACATAAAATAGCAGAATTGAGGCCCTGTATGCTTATTTGCTCTCTTATACCATATAAAAACACATGGGACATATCTGCAAACATTTTTTGTTAATAATTTACAAATATTTTTAATAAACTACAAAAAGTTAATGCTTGTCGTAAGAATTTACTCGAGGGCTAAGACATCCAAACTACAGACTATTTAAGTTTCAAGTTTACTTGAAGGGCCCATTCTCATAAAATAAAAGTTCGGTCACAGTTCAGTATTACTAAGATTTACTAAGACTAGCAGATTACCAATCAATTTTTGATTATAATACTGATATAATCACATTGCAGTCAACAACCTAACCCAAACTTAGTGCGGGTATCTTTATTTATTACTAGCTGACTCACAGCATCTTTTAAAGGAATAAATATGCCCGGTTTTTGCAACATTCTTCTTTGGTGCTCCGGTTCTATTGGTCTTAGCCTAATGATATATGGCATTATAGTCTTCCTTGATAAATAGGCTATCTAACACCGAAAGAATTTCTAAAATCGGAGGAGTAGTTTCTGAGATTAGCACATTGAAGCAAATAAACTCTTCAGCTTTATATTATTAGTATAGACTAGCGACCCACCTCGGCTTCACAAAGAGGTACTAAAAACTTTCAAATTCACAAATTTTTTTGACTACAATATAGATGTATTATAACATTAAAACTTTCCTATCCTTATGAATCACTCTCTCTATTAATGAGAACCATATAAAAATGAGTTGCATAGTTTGATAGATCTAAGCATACAGGAATGGGAAACAATATAAATATATAGGACATTGACCAAATATCTAAGAAAGGTAGCAATGGAATGCCTAGCTTCCTGACTGTGCCCTTTAAGAAACAAAAGCACTTTTCTTAAATCTGAAAATAAATAAATAAATGATTTACATGCCTTATAATTAGACATGCCTTATAATTAGAAAATATATTCCGTTTTTTGAGGAAATTATTTATTTATTTTTCCAAATATAGCAACCTTTTTGATATCACCACTGATGAGCTTCTGCCATTCCATCGCCACTGAGTTAGTGTAGACTAATGATATTTATACTGATGCCAATGACCACTCGATGGCATCTCAATAGCATGTCAGTGGTATGACACTGGCTTGGCGTGAACATAAAATGGCAGAATTGAGGCCCAGTATTCAAGAAAAAAGAAAAGTGATATTAGAAAGCCGTGTTTTTAGTTTACTACTTCTTAACTATTCATAAAATGATGAAAGTTATTGGTACAGGGATTGCAGTACACTGCACACATGGTGTAGTGGTTCAAGGGGTCACCTTGCCGCTTCCTATTGCACTGAGTGTTATGGGTTCAAGTGGTGAAACACTTTGTATGATCCACAAATCTGGTTGTTCTTTAAGTCGGTTTAAATTGATGTTTGTTAAGGTGCTACACAGGATATATTTCTAGTGAAGTATTTTTTTTTTTTCATTAAGCATCACTGCACTCGTTGCAAAAAATAGAAACGGTTTGTTAAAGACCTGTACTAAACAGAGAAACAATTTCTTGAGTAACTTTTTCTCTTTGTGTCTAAGGCTGTGCAGTTCAAAAGCATAAAGTTTAAAGTGAATTTTCACAGCTCTCTCCCTCCAACTCAACCAAGTGAAGAGAGAAAAAGCTCAAATAAAAGAACTAGTTGCAGGGACTGTTCTTAGGCAAACCTTAGATACAACCGGAGATATACAGAGAGAGAGAGAGAAATCTATGAAAACAGATGAAGAAAAAATGGTTGACTATGAAAACATGTTATATGCAAAATCTGTGCATACCATGCCCTTCAATTACAAAAGAATTACGCAAAGTTGTTAGACAGAGCAGCAGGATCTCAGAATAGATTTTATATGTTTATTTAATAAAGATATGATTATGGCGCCCAAAAGGTTACAAATAATATTTTAAGCCGATTTGTATAGTGTAGACCACAATTAACTCACTATTACACATAAAAATGAGATTTAAAAAAAGCATAAAAATCATTTAAAGACAAAGTTTTGTTTTGAATATGTAAATTTTTCTTGTTTAACATGAGTAGAGAATTTACCAGTAAGTTAATTCCTCTCGAGGTTTAAATAACATCACTTCAGATACATGCATAGCATGGCATTTAAATTTTCCAGAAAATCAGTTATCTTTTAAAAATGTGTTTTATGCTTGTAAATAATAATTCTATTGTTATTAAATGAACTTTCTATAATCAAATGCAAAAAAAAATGTTCAATCATGGAATAAACAAGAAATCTCAAATATACCCTACACATGCTACATAATTCGCAATAGTCAATAGTCGAAACAATATCTATTACGGCAAAATTGGGTGTATTATCGCCGGTAACTACGAAAAAATACACATGCGATGTTCGAACGAAAGCAGGTCACGCTACACAGTCGTGAGAAGCCGATGTTAGTCACCGTAGAAATAAACAGGGCTTCACTAATGATCGAAAATGACCACGAACCGTCGGGTGGCAAAACTTATCTCACCTCCCAAGTACAAAGAAATACCACGATTTGTAATTACTTACCCCAGCTCGTCCGCCTTCCTCACCCTCTTGCACTGGCCGCTCCTTCTTCGGCCTTACATCTGACTTCTGTTTTGTGTCTTCCAATTTTTTGGCTAACTCATCTGCGGTAGAAAACTTTTTCACTGCCTTTGACTTTTTGCGATCTTTTTTCGCGAAGAAATCGTCCAAGTCGGCCATTTCTAATTTTGACTTACGATTAAAAGATTTACTCTGGTAATGAAATAATTACAGCAATATTGGAACTAAACGTAAAGGGGGAAAAATAGGCCCCCAAAAAGTGAAATGATTTCTGTAGCAAGCGTGGCCGACTGTTTCTTTTTTTTAAAATGGCAGATTAAATGTTGCCATTGCAATTGGGGAAAACGTCATTTTTAAGTTGCCATTACATTCCGTAAAAAAATACTATTCTAAAGCAGCACAATCAAATAAAAGTCTCATAAAATTAAATTAATTAATTATGAATTTAAATTATGTGCATGAGAATAAAAATCATTGTTTATTTTTTTAACTGAATAGGCAAATAAAGCCCAAACCCTTTCAATCATTAATGTTCACTGGCAAATGTTACAACAATTTTGTAAGGTGGTCAAGAAGTGACACTGAAGATAAATAATAATTAAATTAAGCTATTTAAATAAAAAATAAAACAAATATACGGAAATATAAAATAAAATATAAATTAATAAATCACTAAATGAAACGTTTTTATTATACAGTTGCTCATTTTTACCATTCAGTCCCAATTTCTCCGATTTAATGTCACTAAAATGTTTCACTTAAGTATTTATCAATTATATTTTATTTAAAGATGCTTTGTTAATTTTAACTCTTTCCATGCAATAATTTGCTGTCCAAAAAAAAAACAAAAAATGGACCAAACTATGCTGGTAAAAATCTTAGTTTCATATTTTATTAAACTAATTGTGAAATGAAACACTAATTTGTTTACAAAGATACTAAAACTCCTAACTTTTTATCTTTATCCCTTTTTTCGTACTTCTTGAAATTTATTATCCGACCGTCTCAAAAAGTTTTTTGTACAAATGAAAACTGTTAACATTTACCACCAATAATAAATAGACGAACTTTATCCAACTGAACAGTTTAACACTTCAGTCATCCGTTATCAGTTGGTAGCTCGGACAATATCGGCTCCCGCCAATCGCCGATATCTTTATCTTATCTATCTTGTACCTGGCCATTTCTATTACAGTTTTTAAAGAGTAAGAATAAAAAATGTTGGGCCCTCTGGCGAGAATTTCAAATTATGCTGGTAGGAATTACATGAGGAATTTTGTGAGGAACGGTTCGCATGGTGGAGTTCCCGGAGAGGTGAGATGATATTTTTTTTTCGTTACGTAATCAAAAGGCCGTGGACATTTAGGGATATACACTTGCATAATCCAGGTGCATGTCGAAAGGTCTTAAACCAGTTCTCACTTTTGAGGGATTCCGGTACATATTTAGTAACACTTGGATGATGACTATGATGATGGGGTACCTTAATAGCATTTTTTATGAAAGCATGTTTAGTCCTTCGCTGGTCTTTTTCATGTCTCAATAGTTAAAAAGAAAAGCCTACCTGCATCTACGGACATCCTAACATTTATTATAAAATCCTTATAAGATTATATAACTTTTTATTTGTAGTAATTTCGTTGGTCCACAGAGAAGGTTTAAGTATTAAGGTATTTAAAGAGGTTCTGTTTGTCTACTAGAAAGTTTATAAGCTTTCGATTTTCACTGAAATCAAGAACTAATCCCTTTGATGCTTATGTAAAAACCGCCATTTTGATAATCTCTATAATATGGATTTAATTTAAATAAACTGAATCAAGTTACAGACTGGAAATAAAATAATGTATGGGAATGTTTATATCTGACGAGTCATTTGGTTTTGAGTTTGTAAAAGTTTGTAAATTTTTTTTCAATAAAAGTAAGCATGGCATGTAAATGTACATGTGACTCACATAACCGTAAATGTGTAACTAGCGATAAAATCACTGATATCAATCCCCTTATAATTAATTTTTCGCCTTATTTGAAGTTCTAATAAAAGATAAAAAATATATTATATTTATTTCAATTTCGTGGTTATGTTTGTTGAGATATTTTGACCTCTATTAAGTTAAAAAGTTCTTATGCCTAGTAGAAATAGGCAGTTGTTTAAATCTCTATCATTAAAACAACTTCCTAGTCCTTGAAGGTATGTCTGCACCGATTCGTTACTAATACGACCCTGAAGGTGATTTTACATAAGTTTTTTTCCATATTCGATTCTTAGTTTTTAAGTTCCAAGTTCATAAGCTTTTAATTATTAGTACTTATAATTAGTAGGTACCAATATATATAAAGGTAAATCGTCGCTAATCGATTTTCGACGATTTTGTTGTGAAATAATTTTGTAATGATAGCCGAGTGTAAAAGACGCGTCGTGCCTTTGCATTAAATTACCAATGGAATTTGTTTATTCCTTACTTACACTTTCATACTTTATGAGTCATTTAAATGGAATAGAACTGTACATCAAATCATACTTTACAAACCTGTACCTACCTCATCATCATCATCAACAGCCTTTAATACTGCTGGACGTAGGCCTCGCTTTAGAAATTAAGATTTGTCCTACTATATCTTAGTTTCTAGACTTAGTTTCTAGATAACACAAGATCTCACTAGTTATCATAATTAACTACAACCTTAATTTTTTCACTGCTGGACATAGGCTTCTCCACCACGCTGGCCAGACGGGTTGGTATAAGGTTTGTTTCAAGTTTTCCTTTTCTTTGCAATGCTGTTGTCCTGCTTTTTTTTTCCTTTAATCGGCTCTTACGACAGTGGTGACATAGGGGTGGGTGACAAGATCTCACTATTAGAAAACAGGCATAAAAACAATACAACCAGTTTTATTTGTAAATTTTATTTAATATGTATAGTAACACCCATAGTACAAGTTTTGCTTAGATTAGACCCAGGTGATGTGTGTAGTGTAGGTATATCTAGATATCACTAAAATTACCTCATCATCTTCATTAACAGCCTTTAATAGTCCACTGCTAGATATAGGTTTCTCCTTAGAAATGAGGTTTTGGCCTACTACATCACGCAGACTAGACGTGTTTGCGTCAGGTTTTCCTTCTCTTTTGAGGCTTTAGGCTCTTACTACACCTACGGGATGACTAGGAGTGGTGACTCTGTATTCTTGATATCACGGATGATACCACACAATATAATTATCTAGCTAAAATGTTTAAGTAATATGCGTAACATTACGTAGAGAGAAAATACATCAAGTCACAGGCGTCCAATATATAGTTAACCTGTTTAGTACAGTAACACATTGATAGCTCAAGTTATAGTGGTCAATGTGATAAAACAAAACAATCAGAACTGATTCCAATAACGAATTATAGTTGGAATTCGACCACAACACGATCTCTGGTTATAATTATTAGGTACCTTACCGTTGCAAGTAAAAACTATGTAAGATCGTAAAATAGTATCTATTTACCACAGTCTACCTATAATATTTGTCAAGACGAACGGGTCCCAGCTTTACACTGGATTGTAAATATTTACATTGACTGAATAGATGTTTGCAAATACAATTCCATAGCTGTTTATACGAATGAGCCCATAATGAATAAGAAACAGTTACTTCGATACTTGGAATTCAAATATGAATGCTTATGAATTTTAATGGAAAATTGTTTTCATAAAAAATTCGATGACAAATTTTTACTTCTTGTTCCAAGACCTTTTACCTTATTGCAGCATTTTTTTAATTTGTATTCTAATGTTTTTAAAGTTTTCGCAAATACCAACCTTGTAGTTTTAGTGAACAGTCTTTTCTTACGCTTTTCAATAACTTCAATAACCTTTTTTCTTTACCTATCTTCGGACAATTCCTAGTAAAATTATAAATGCGAAAATAACTCAGTCTGTCTGTTACACTTTCACAGCTAAACCGCTGATTCGATTTCAATTAAATTGGCATAGAGATACTTTGATACTTGATAATGCTCATACACGCGGGCAGAGCCACGGGCACAAGCTATTAGGATATAAATAACTATTAATAAAATGCATACAAAAGCACCTCACTTGAATACAATTAGTATGCAAATTTATAGAAAAGATAACAATAAGTATGTTATAACTTTCCAGAATCTTCCATTTGGCATGCACAACCGTGCGCGCTTGACGTTCAACCTCTTTTGGTACGTGGGTTCGGGTTTGGCAGCGCCATATATACTTCTTGTGTTCCAAATGAAGAAGAAATAAGTTTGGTAAGTACTTCAATAATTTATAAAAAGACTAGAATGTCTTGCTAACGCCTTTTTTTGTATGTTACTTCCATGGGTCGTAAAACCATATCGTCACGGAGTCTTCTTGTAATGGATATGCTGTGGATTCCGATATTCTTGGCTCAACTTGGCTGCCTGTTAAATTATAGGCGATCTTACCGTGACGTTTTGGATTTGAAAGCATTGCCTTTTGAAGGCATTTAATTCTCTATTAGTTACTAATAAACATAGAATGGATAATATTGGCCCTTGCACACCAATCCTTACCCTTCGTGCCAGATTAAACCCAGTTTCAAATGTCGTAAATATCGGACATTATCTTACTACTAATAGCTTATTTTTGAATACGAAAGTTTTGTTCAGGTTTATTACCGAATCACACAAGAATAGGTAACTATGAACGTGCCGATATATGGCAATCAAAGAAAACAACATGATGTTATTTATTTTTTTGCAATCGATTTATTGTTAGCAACATACCTTTTTTTTCCGTGCGGAAATCCCCTCGGATACCACCTATCGGTGGCATGTCGGACTCGAACCGACTAAAACCGCACGCCGTCTCGGGTACTAATAGCCGGGGAACCAGGTATACCCTAGAAAGGAAGTCCCTGGTGCCCCGACGTACCTCGGGCCATCTACAGACGAGTAGACGACCCCCCCCCCCCGTGTGGGAACCCCATGTTCCCTCTGCTCCCTGGAAGCGAGCGCGCTTCGCAATGCGCTCGCCGCCACCCCGGCCTGCTTCTGCTAGGGTGACAGATGGGCTCACCATGGGTCACCTTTGTATCACGAATTTAAAGCAAATAGATCAATCGACCTTGCATACATACAGAACATCAAAATTAATAACAGATATACCACAGGAGTAGAACAAACAGCAGAATATCTTTTAGACTCACTCGTACCTGACGATCGACCGGAGAACGACACTGATCATCACCGACAGATCAGGCAGTGGGCCATCGAACCACCACTATCTCCAATGTCTGATTTACCATCTTCAGACGAATTTCTCGGTATCATTAGATCCTTGCCGCTAAACAAGGCTTCGGGCGATGATAAAATATCTAACAAAATGATAAAAGAAGCTTGTAAACTTTCGGGTGACACGATTTTCACTGTCTTTAAACGTTGCATTGCTGAAGGTGCTGGCTATTTTCTTAGATATATCTGGCGCCTTCGACAACGCATGGTGGCCCATGCTGTTGCTGAAATTAAAATCACGGGGGTGCTTTAAAAATATTTATTCCCTTATCGCTTCGTACTTTTCACAAGGTACAACTAAACTAAGACTTGGTCATCATTCTGTGTCGAAGGCGCTTACAATGGGATGTCCTCAGGGATCGGTGCTAGGTCCATACTTGTGGAATATCGGCTTCGACGATTTTCTTGCGATACCAATACCATCCGGATGTACTCTGAACGCGTATGCTGATGACGGCTTATTACTGGTGGAATCTGATACTAGGGCGGGGCTTGAGAGATTAGCCAATAGATGTTTGAACTTGATATCTCAATGGGGTGAACGTAATCGCTTAACTTTTGCACCCAACAAAACCTTCCAGCTACTTTTAAAAGGTAACCTCAAATCACCGCCGAGCATTAGATTTAACAATGTTACTGTAAAAAATAAAACCACAGTGTGTTATCTAGGATTAGTTTTAGAAAGAAACTTTTCATTTATCGAACATATTAAAATAGTTAATGAAAAGTCTAAAAAGAGTTTCTGTGCATTGACAAGGATATCAACTGCGACATGGGGTCTATCATTTAATACATTAAAGATCATATACGGAGTTACTTATTTAGGTTCTATGTGCTATGGTGCACCTGTATGGGCCGATAGGGCGACCGTAGGTGCTGTCCGTCGCAAACTGTTACAAGGCCAACGACTTGCACTGATATTCTTGTGTAAGGCATATAGGACGGTTAGCACTGAGGCTTTGCCGGTGTTGGCGGGTGTGCTTCCGGTCGATCTCGAGGTGCAGAGACGTGCAGCCATGTACTATTCAAGACAACAAAACATGGAATGCGATTTTTTGGGCGCGCGGGATCGCGGTAAAATTACAAGATTGCTTCAACAGCAGCCCGATGTCTATAACGACCTCATAGACGAATGGCAACAACGCTGGGATGAATCATCCAAGGGGCGCCATCTTTACCAATTCTTTGCATCTGTTCGCGAACGGTTGTCGAGGATATGGCTTGAGGTGGATCACTGTGTCGCTCAATTTCTTACGGGTCATGGTAACTTTAAGAGCAAGCTTTATTCATTTAAATTAGTCGAGTCACCATTGTGTCAATGCTCAACACCTAACTCTCACTATGAACAGTCTGCTCATCATATCCTCTGGGAATGTAGTCTTTGGTATAATGAACGTAATATAATGCTGAATAGCTTGCAGGTGACATCTGGGGCGGTATACTATGGGGATCTTGTGTCAACTAGGGTGAATTTCCGTGCGTTTAGGCGATTCTGCCATACATATTATAGAAATCAAACATAGCTCACGTAGGACCCGTAATATTTGTGGCCGTGGTGCTTCCCTGTTTAAAAGGGTGTATGCCCATTTTTACTTCATTTTGTCTCCCGCTTTGCTAAGGAGGGAAGTGGATTTACTGTATTTCCAACTCCTCCAATTTTCTTCTGATTAATTTCGTTGCGGGTTCCAAGACAGTTTAATTTCTTCCTGGGACTTCCCGAGTGTCATAACTCGGTGTGTTCGTGGGTCACTGCTGTGGATCCTGGTGTACAGGAGTTACAGTGGTGGGCGTGTGGGTGGGATTAGATGGGCTCACCTGTCACCCCCAGGCCTGCGCTTATGGAGGACGGAGGTCATTCTGCGACCTCCGGCGCCTGAGTCGCCTGCGGTACCTGGCCCGTTCCCGGGCCTGGCGGGCCGGGAGGGTCCTAAGCCTCTCCCGGTCCCGCTCCGCCGTCTCCTTCGCGAGCATAACTTGCTCGCAGAAGGAAGCAACATACCTCTAAAGATTCTTTTAAGAACTTAACCAAATTCTTAAAATAAACAGAAAGTATTTCAATTCTTTTGCTGTTATACCACGTGTTTCACCTAAATATTATACTACCTAAGTATTTTAGAATATGACGAATGACAAAACAGAAGGCCAAATCTTGTTTTTGCCATTGTTTTGAAGGCAATTCTCGTAATAAAGTTCGTTCACAATTCAGTTCCGATCGATCGATCTCACAACTGTCAAAAAAGATATTTTCTGTGATGTATTGTTTAACTATTTTTATTAATGATTATATCGTATTGTAACTGAAAATTGAATCGGTAACCTGTTAGTTTTACTAATACTTTACTATTTTACTACAAAAATACATTTTATGACAGTTTATCGGCACTGAATTGTTTGTGACCGAACTTTTATTACGAGAATTGACCTTCAGAACAATGGCAAAAAAACTAAGGATTAAAGAGAACGAGAATTACCTAAAGTCTATGCAAGGACGTGTTCAAAGTATTTAGTATCTGAATTTAGCCTAAGGAACAATGGCCCTGTTTCCATTTGTTTCATTCTTGAGCGATGATAAGACAGAACATAATTATGTATATCAGAACAGAAAAATAATGGCGCACAATGTACTACAGAGTAAAACAGTATAGGATATATACAAGGAAAGTTATATTATTATGTATACATATAGGAACCTAGTCAATTTGCATTAAAAGTATATGTTCTAATAAATATCACAGGGCGAAATTTAAAAGTTATTGCGAACAAAGTTCGTGCTTCCGGTTAATCTAACAGTACTTATATAATTTATATTAATAAATTAAAATGGATTACACAATTTAATTAAACACTTAACATTACATCAGCATTTTTTCTAAATTAAACATAGCGTTTTGATGCACGGAATCTTTGAATCACGTTTTGTAGCAAATAAACGTCGATACAGGTGTTTAATGAAACACCTAATTGAGATATCGAAATTCTATAGAACATAAGATCTTTATGACTCATTGTGTCGTAACATGAATGGCGACTCAGTGGTGTTGAAATGACCTGAACGTAACGTTGGTTGCATGCATTCACGTTTTATAATAAACTAACTGACCCGCGCAACTTTGTCTGCGTCTCTCAATAGTAATAAATTTTCTCCGTTTTTGAAACATTCTTCATTGGTGCTCCGCTCCTATTGGTCTTAGCATGATGATATATAGCCTATAGCCTTCCTCGATAAACGGGCTATCTAACACTGAAAGAATTTTTCAAATCAGACCAGTAGTTCCTGAGATTAGCGCTTTCAAACAAACAAACAAACAAACAAACTCTTCAGCTTTATAATATTAGTATAGATAAAATTTTATTACAAAATAATATATATACCTACCATGAACATGAAGTTTAAATAGGTAACTTGCTATAGTTTATTTTGTACGGCCATTTTCAGGACACTGCTAGACAAGTTTCATATTGTTAGTCATACACAGTCGAACCGACTAGAACGTCCGAGTATCAAACTTACTTATTAACATTAATCATCAAACTTACTCATTACTGCCAGTTTGGGCTTCCTTCTCTGACCCTGTTGTCAAGAGAGGGCCTCTACTCCCCGCATTACCACTATTCTGACGTTATCGGTTAAGTTTATGATTTTGGACTAACGGTTTTTTTGTGTAAGCTGAAATGTATCGTTACAAAAAAAAAACAGATAGTGAAATCATCTGCTCAATGCCAATTTGTGCGGTGTGCCTTCAGAGAGTCATCACGAAACAATACGGGTCCTTTCAGAAAACAGTAGTATGTGGTATATTGATACGTATGCTACGAATATTTCTGTATACTCTATTATTTTTTAAAGATAGATGTTATATTTTTGTACTTAATATATTTTTAATTCAGTTTTTTTTTTCAGGTACCGATCACCCGTACCATCTAATGTTAAAAATAAAAAAGTTTTTAAGCTGATTATGTAGATAAAATCTCAAATAAAAATTTAAAGATGGAAAAATGTAGTTTCTTTTTTTTATAGATGAAATTACTGGAAAACTACCAAAAAATAAAAAAAACCTAAACGAAGTAGTAGTTTTTCAATTCAAGTACGTCTATCTTTTGTGGTGTATTGAATTTTCAGTTTCTCGTCCTCCCGAATATCTGAAAAGTAACAAAATGCTTACTCCTTTGGCTCGTATCTCGAATAAGCTCGGCAGGAATGTAATGGTTAATGCAGTGAGGAGCCACTCTCACGGCGGTGTTCCTGGCGAGGTAAGTTCTACGTTCAAAATTCTAAATGTCATTACATAATCTATTCTATTGTTTTACTTAAAATTAAATATACCTATCTTTAAATTATATTTTCTATAATCGTAAATTTTACTAGGGTTGTGTGTTATTATGTGAGTTAACTTAGGCATTTTAAATTTTAAACTTTCCTATTAAAATTTAGGTTAGGCACTTAAGATTACTCATAAATAATAATTAAAGATTGTACAAAGATCATCATCATAAAATACTTAATTTGGTTTGTTTAGCATTAAAATAATAACATTAAATCGAAATTATGTTAAAACAATTTATAAGTATTTATGTCTACTCAGTAAATATAATTATTTCGTGTTTCACTTCCAGAACCTGCCTTTCGGCATACACAACCGTTACAAGCTGACTGCGTACTTCATCCTATTTTTCGGCTCCGGTCTAGCTGCACCCTACCTCATCACCCGCCACCAGCTACTTAAGAAGTAATTATATATTTTGATATTAAAAATTTTGGTGATGAAGACTTTGTCTCCAGTACTCAATACAAATAATATTATAAAACTATGATCAGCATCAAACATCATATTCATCATTTTGTTTTTTAACCAAGAAGTAATGTGTTTCTCAGATAACATGAATTGTTTTAGACTAAGCAGAAGTAGTTTGTTGGCCTACATGTCAGCAAACCACTTAGAATAATGAAGTTTACTATTCCCTATAACACTGCATGTTTAATCTAATTTGCTCTTTTTGCTGACCCATAAATCATAATATTGAGCATAAACTTAATACAAAATTATTATCGCAGTAATAAAATATTTTCACACATCTCAAACATTGCTGTTAAATCCCAAACTAGGCAGGGCCTGTACTATGGTAACGATAAACATACTTATATATTTCTTAATACATACAAATTATAGATAAAGTACACCCAGACACAGAACAAATGACTGTTCTCACCACACAATATTTGTCCTGGGTGGGAATCAAACCTACAATCTCCTGTTTAGCAGTCAGGGTCACTAACCAATAGACCAACAGGCCTGTCATTATTTTATTATAGAGAATGTTTTACTAGTTATTAAAGGTATTTTTTTTGGATTTGATTCTTAGGCTTAGGCTGTGAAAATCTCATCATGTGATAGGGATAGAACAAAACATTTACGTAATATCTAAGTCTCAATTCGAACCCTAAATGGGGACTTTTGTCCTACATACGAATATAATGGCATTATTATATCATTATTACGTCAGTTATGACGTATGACTAATATGACGTAATAGCATTATGAGAATGAGAATGAGAATAGAATAGAATAGCACGACTTTTCTTGTAACCCTGTATAAAATTCTCGTGTCACGGTGTGCGTGGTTGAACTCATCCGAAACAGCTCAACCGATTTTCGTGAAAATTTGTGTGCATATCGGGTAGGTCTGAGAATCGGCCAACATCTATTTTTCATACCCCTAATTTTTTTTTTAAATAATGTGTATGGAAAAACAATGTTTGAGAGGTCAGCTAGTACATACATATAATATGTACGTTAACAGTTAACTAATACATATTTCGTCATATCAAAGTCAAGTTTGATGTCAATATGAGGTAAAAGTGATGTTATTGAGGTAAAGCAATCAAACATAATCACTATTATGTCAGAAAATTGGAGATCTATATGACGACATTTTAAAGACGTGTTCACTGCGTATGAATCGAATAAATACACACAAAGCAATTATGGGATTGAGCTGCCATAAGCACCATTCAAAATTCAAAATTCATGAATAGAGTTATGTCCATATGCCAATTGCTGATTCCTTAGTTAACAACACTTACAGATAAACTTGTTTATACTGGTATTAGATACTTTTTGTTTGCCTCAGTGACGTCTTCGTAGCATATGCGACTGCTGTGCTAAGGTCTCGGGTTTGATTCCCGGTTCGGAGAGAATGTGTGCAAATATTTGTTTCGGAGTTTGGGTGTTTTTTTCACAAATATATACATACATAATGTATATATTTGTGAAAAAAAAGTATAGTAGTACTGATAGATACAGTCAATCTAGCTTTCTTAGTACAAGCCCTGCTTAGTTTGTACCTAGATACAGTTGCGTGTCTGAAGAATGATTATTTTCAATTCCTGATATTTTCACCATGTTGCAATGAGTCAGCATGAGACCATAATTGTACATTGTACCTTTTTTGTCTTTTCCGTTAATATAACTATATTTTTTTGTGGAATGCTAAAATTATAATCTTAATCATTTTTTTCGTTTATCCATCATCATAATTTATGAGCATGATCATTTGTTTTGTGTCTGAGTGTAATTTATTTAAAGGATGTATGTATTAAGAAATATATAAGTATGTTTATCAGCAGTCTAGTCACTTTAGTACAGGCTCTGTCTAGTTTGGGATCAGACTGCCGTGTGTGAGATGTGTGAAATTATTGTTTCTGCCAGAGACTACTAGTAATTAGGGGAACTAAATCAATACTACCTACAATTAATGTGTACCCTTGTCACTATATGAGGGGCCTCTCACTAGTTACATGCATTATGTTTGTGGAAAATTTTATAGTTATTATTTCAATACCGATCTTAAATATTATCATCATGATGCTAATAAATCACTAAGAGATACATTCCCAAAATAATACTAATAAGTCAAACCTATTTAGAAGGCTACTTCTAATAAAAGTTCGGTCACAATTCAGTTCCAATCATAAAAGTCATTATCGTAGTAAAGTATAACACATCCAACGTTGACTGTAATGTGATTATATCGTATTGCAACCAAAAATTGAATCTTTACTATTTTACTACGAAAATACCTTTAATTACAGTTGAGAGATTGATAGTTGATCGGAACTGAATTTTGACCCAACTTTTATTACGAGAATTAGCCATCAGACCTGCAGCATTAAGTTTACCAAGTCAATCAATTTTAAAAAGCTTTAAAGAAATGGCTTGTTCCAATGTTGAATAAGTATTTAAGACCAATACACTATCACATAGAATCTGAGATTGATCTCAGATTCTATGTGATAGTGTATTGGTACCAATATTTCAGTATTTGAATATCTTTCTTTCAAACAATAATTAGACACAGCTAGACAGATGCTTGATGCTGTTTGCCTTCTAAAAGAAATTAGTAATTTACAATGAAAATGATGATAAAATTATTTCTGTTTCAGGTAATCTGCAAAATGTGCAAATAAATAGGTTTAAGCTAGCAAAACTGTATCATAAATTATGATTTAAAATAAACATTCTGTTTTAGCGTTAAAATATGCATTATTTGATTTTTATTACCATACTACCCATGGACATATAAAAATATTTTTTATATGTTATTGAGAGAAATTAAAAGGTTTTATATAAAAGTGTTTCGAGCGGGGTATACAATAAAAAAAAGTTTTCGGCTAATTACTTTTATTACACTTTATTTACAAACACTCACTATTACAAAAAAGGAATCACTATAAAACTCGTTAGTGGCACTAGAATCGCTTCGATGTTAATTCGCTCTGTCGTAAAACAATACTGTCAAGTACGGCCAACACGCTCCGCTTTATAGTGCTGTCGAAATTACTAGACTAATCACGAATATCCGATGGAATGTTCTAGACAGAACCACGTACAATAAGGCATCTACAAATTTCCATAATAATACGATATTCCACACTAGATGGCACTGCAAGCAATGCGTAGCGTTGTTCTCCACTTGATACTAGATGGCGCTGTCCTCCAGGCACAACACAAGAACCACCTAGTCCTATGGCGCAACAATAGCAATAGCTAATGGCCTCTCTACTTTTAATTAAATTCAATGAGCAACAGCACTTGCATAAAAAAAACATGTGCATTTACAAATATATTAAATATTCTACACCCTTTTACTTGATAGAATTTTTAATTTTAACCACTTAAAATTTTATGCACATATATTTTTTTTGCTAAGTGCATAAGTGAAAACACGGATGAAAATTATAGTTCATTCTCTTTGAAACGACGCATAGTTAATGTGCAAAAACGTGTTCAAAAAAATTAAAAATTCAAGTTAACTTTGACCATTTGAGTTCAGACTTTCATACGAAGCCATTGGGTTCTCTAAACATTACAATATGTATATCTCGCCTGTTCGTAAGAATTAAAGTGTGTCAATAATTGGTAGGGGAGAAAGATGAGTAATTTGTAACGTTTAAAAGTATTTCAAACTAGTTTTAACTGTGTGGGTTGAATGTGACTGTAGAGAATGCAGTCACTAAAACAGCAAGTGCTTGTGGCGTGTCAGGTACTGTTCATAAAATTATTAAGGAATAAAAGGAAACTAACACATTAAAATCGATAGTTCGACTTTCAACGTTTGATATCTTTACTTGGTATAAAATGAAGTTCATTCTTGTCGCTTAGATCTTTCAAACTACGCAATAGATTTTGATGCGGTTTTCTCTTATAGAGAGAGTGATTCAAGAAGCGAGTTTATGTGTATAGTATATGCATATTGTACGAGATGTGTTGTGATGTGAAATAGATAAAACTTTTGTTTGCTTACATTGCAAACGCTGGCTTACCTTACGAGATAGATCAAAATACTGCGGAACTGTACATAGTAACCATTTTACACATTACAAAAAAAAAGTTATTTACGAAGCTATTTTGAACAACACTGTATTATTCCTTATCCAATTACACACGTTAGAGACGTTGTGTATTTATTGAGTTCGTCTCGCAGTCCACTGCTAGACATAGGCCTTTCCCATTCCAGGCCACTTAGATCGAGTTTCGGCTTCTCGCACCCAGCTCCTGCCAGCCATGTTGCACAGATCGTCACTACCAAAGGGCCTGTGGGCGTCCTACACTACATTTGCCTAGACGTGGTCTCCACTCAAGAACTCGTTTACCCCAACGGTTGTCGGTTCTGCGACTAAAATGGCCAGCCCATTGCCACTTCAGCTCGCTAATCTGCTGGGCTAGGTTCATGAGTATGACCTTGGTTTTCTGTAGGATCACCTAATTCCTGATGCGATTCCTTAAAGAAACGCCGAGCATAGCTCTTTCTATAGCTGAGCGACTTAAATCTATAAAAATATAAATTTTGTTATTGTTCAAATGTAAATTGTTTGAAATTTTTACACCCTGAATACCCCTATACCCCCCAAATGGCCAGTTTCTGTTGTGAAAATTTGTATGTATTGTTCTTTGATTTCTCTTTTTATTACTCTCCTACAATATTAAAATTTCTATTAATGCTTTGTTACTTGTAAAAGTTTCGAAAAGTGTTTATATTAATGATGCCAGAAAAGCATTTTTGTCTGATTAACACACGCAATTTTCTTGCATTGGTTTGGTAAAGATTCTTAACCAAAATCAATGCAAGAAAATTGCGTTCTAGAAGTTTCGTTTAGTGCAGTTTAGTGAAAGGTTCAGCTGATGCAACCTCATATGCATCGTTTGAAAACAGTTTATTGGTAACAACGCGTGAGTACGTATTAAAACTAACCTAAGTACGAAATAATCGAGTGATAAATCGCGAGTCTTTCCCTGTTCATTGTGATTTTGTTCCATGCCTACATTGATATAATACTTACATAGATGAGTAATTACCGCCTAAAATCGTTGCTACTGCACATCTGTCCACAGGCATATGCGTAGCAAACGTCAATTCAGTATTCAATGTGGCGTCAACCGAGTTGAACATAGCGACACATGACAGTAACAATCGCCAAAATGGCTAAATGCGTAGTGAAAGGATGCGATTCTAGGTCACAAAACATTAATAAATCATGCGGAATTACTTTTCACGTGTAAGTTTATGGTTTTTGTATTGATAATATCGTAAATAAGGCTATAATTGAAATAAAACACTGATAATTGTAATTTAGAATCAGTGTTACCATTAAAAAATCATTTTGGTTTTCCCACATTAGTGGGAGAATTTATAATTTATGAAATAATATGCTTTATACTGTTTTTAAACATTTTGCCAATAATAATAAAATATAGGAAGAACGGTAGTTGTTAGGGCTGGACCGATCACTTTTTTAGGGACCCGTTGAACGTTCTGCGAACGAACGAACTGCGAGCTTGGCTGAAGTGCCAAGCTCGCAGTGCTGGAGACTTTTGTACAAAAGAATTAATTCATTGTTTTTCTTAATTTATTATCAATTTTAAATAATAATTGTACAAAATAATAATAATAAAAAATGTTTATCATAAAAAGAAAAAATAAAAAAGTAAATAAACAAATTGTTTTTTTATAAAATATAAATAAAAAAAAAATTTTTTTTTTTATTTGTTTTTAAATTATAATAGAATTTGCAATACACCCTGGGGATTATTTATTATCAGTACAAGTTGATCATTCACTTTTATTATTAAATGCTATTATTTTTACATACGTAAAAATAAGATTGTATCATGAAAGTAAAATATCAACACAAACTTATAAAAAAGAGTCTTAAAGACAATTGTATACAAAACTGATGCTTCACAGCGCAGTTTGATTTTACACTGAATATAAACCCTTTTAACCAAATATTTCCAGTTATTTTATTATTTATACCTATTCTATTCAATTCGAAATATATTATTTAGAATATTTAAATTAATTTATTTTATTACAAAATTGTTTTAAAAAAAATTGTTTCTTAGTTGTTATGGGTAAAATTTCATACGGTAGTCAACACTGGCCCACCATCGTAAAGTTATATCTTTGTCTTTGTCTAATCCGAGCGATGGTATTGTTCTTGTCTCGCGTGTAAATGAGACATAAATATGTTTTTTTTTTTTTTTTTTTTTTTTTTAAAAGACAACTCCCGCATTAGGAATAAATCCTGTGTCGCGGGGGACTTTACAAACATACATGAAACGGACACAAAGAACACCCAGACTCAGAACAACAATTTGTGGATCACACAAAGTGTCGTCCCATGTGGGGTTTGAACCCACAACACTCGGCGTAGTAGGAAGCGGCGTGGCGACCGCTTAAACCACTACGCCATCCGTGCAGTCATAAATATGTTTACTTTCAAATGTTTAGTGGTATCAAAGCTACGTCGTCAAAGTTCAAAAGTGGTTACACTTTTTTCGACGTGTGATAATGAGGTTTGCTTCTCTAGTGTTGTTTTAACTCAATGCATGCCTACCTATGTTGTACTCGTGCTTCAGCGCCGTACATAGGAACGAAAAGTCTATTCTATTATAAGTCTATGGAGTTGACAACATTGAAAAGTTACTGCCACTGTGATACTTATCTGTGCTTCGATACTTCTCTTCTCTCTGATCTGCTTGTTTTGCTGTCAAAATAAATAATGGTAAATAATAGTGCGTTCAGGAAATTACTCTGTCTGTGATAGATATATTCCTGTCGTATTACAATCCTTTAAACATAATAACTAAAAACTAAGGACATTACGTAATAATTGTAATACGTGAGAACTTAAATGTACACTGTAAACTACCGGTAACCTCAAATGTAAATATCATAATATGACCGAAACGTCGTGTTATATTCTCGACAATGGGGGCTACACGGCCAAAGTGGGCTTCTCTAGCATGGAGCCAAAGGTAGTTCCTAACTGTATCATGAAAGCTAAATCGGAAAGACGAAGACCATTCGTAGCGTCACAAATTGACGAATGCCGAGATGCGTCTGGACTATTTTACATTCTACCGTTTCAAAAAGGTTTCCTAATTAACTGGGACACCCAAAAAACTGTCTGGGACTATATGTTTAGTAAAGAATGCTGCCCTGTGAACTTCAACGAAACGCCATTGATAATTACAGAACCACTATTCAACTTTGCATCAATACAAGAAGCCATAACTGAAATATTTTTCGAAGAATACGAATGCCAGTCATTACTACGTATAAATGCTACAGATTTAGCAGAATATAACTACCGTAAAACTCATAAGAACCAGTGTACGCTTGTAGTTGATACGGGATATAGTTTTACCAACATTGTTCCATATATAAAGGGTAAAAAGTATAAAGATGGTATACGAAGGATAGATGTAGGAGGTAAAGTACTGACTAACCACTTGAAAGAGATTCTATCTTACAGGCAACTTAATGTTATGGATGAAACATATGTCATAAATCAAGTTAAGGAAGATTCTTGTTTTGTTTCTCAGGACTTTATGGGAGATATGGAGATAGCCAAGAAGAAAGGTGAGTTTTTAATCACTGATCAGAGAAGTTTAGTGCATGATAAAATTCCAATTCTAAATAATAACATGCTCTTAGAAGCCTCTGAACATCCCAGGAGGCTTCTGCGCTTCTGGAAGGAGCTCGTCTGGCTCACCTAGCCTACCTCTCCTAGACACTTAAAAGACCACCTTAGAGTCTAAAATCGGAAATCAGAGCCCACAACCAATACCAATGGGCCAGCTCAGCTGAAGTGCCTCCACTGTGTTACAGAAAAATGGTGTTAAGTAATTCTTTAGTCACTGCAGTGCAGTTTGCCCCGTTTCGATTATAAATAAGTTCTACTCATTTTTTTTTTTGTGGTGACTGATTTGTGAGTTGTATTTGGCAAGTTTTTAAATTGCTAGTCATGTTTTTCAATGATTGTCAATGTTCTTGAAGAGTGGGTGTTGGATCCATGAATTTGCTTAAACCTTGAGGACTGAGTATGTTTATAACGAGAAGAGCTTATAAAATGTAAAAATTATCTTTCTAAACATTGGATAGCAAAATTTTTCAATAATGTTCATGTAAAATGTATGTTCAAAAAACAGGATAATGCCAGAAGAGACAAGTTTAGATTGAACCATTTTGGGTACCATTATAATTCCACTCCTATGTGTTTTTTTTTTATTGCATCTTGCTTATATTGTTAGTCACTACCCCTATTCATCTCGTGAGGGTCGTAAGAGCCGACTAAGGGAAAAAAACTATGCAGAACAGCACTGCAGAGAAAAGGAAAACTTGAAACAAAACCCCATACCAACCCGTCTGGCCAGCGTGGTATAGTAGGCCGAAACCTCCTTTCTAAGGAGACGCTTATGTCCTTAGAAAGGAGGGTCCAGCAGCGGACTGTTAAAGGCTGTTGATGATGATGTCATATATTTTTAGTATTTTTCTACCTTAAATGGCAATAACGAAGTTTTGTTTTTTTTGTTCAAAGTTCGATAGTACAAAAATATTAGACACACGTTGAAAATTTTACCAATTACAGGTGCAGATAATATCATAGTTAAAGACTATGTCCTGCCCGACTACACATCCATCCGTCGAGGATACCTTCGCGACATTGTCAAACCAGATGAAGACTTAGAACAACAAACACTCAGGCTAAACAATGAAAGGTTTTCTATCCCAGAGCTATTGTTCCACCCATCAGATGTTGGGATCCCACAAATGGGCATCCCAGAAGCGATCATGAACTCAATTGGTGCTTGTCCAGAAGAAAATATGGAAAGTTTATTGGAAAATATTATTTTGTTTGGTGGTAATACTTTATTTCCGGGCTTCCGTGATCGAGTCTTTAATGAAGTAAGGTCATTAGCCTTAGACCATTATGACGTTAATGTCACAATGGCGGAAAATCCGATCACATATGCTTGGGAAGGTGGGAAAAAGATTTTTAGAGATCCGGATTTTTATTCGTTCTGTGTAACTAGAGAAGAGTATGAAGAGGAGGGGAAATCGCTTGCTTTTGAAAGATTTGATATTTAGCGACGAAAACGAGCGAGAAGATCTTCGGAGTAGGATTTCTCGCTCGCTAAAAGTGCAATGTTTTGCGGCAGTGTGGACAGTGCGTGATTGATAAATTAATGATATTTTTTTAATTAAACTTTTTACACAAGGAACTGCTAGAATTATTAGATACCATATTAGATACTACCAGTGGTTTTATTTCACCAAAATGGATTCCATGATAGGTGTCTGTCTGTACATTAGCAAATGTACATTCTTTGTAGTTCTAAATTCCTGATGAAAGTTGTGTGTTGCCATCTTTTAGAAAAAAAAAATAGATTCATATGTTCTGTAAAATTTAAAATCCTAATCCGAAACAGCAGCTTGACTTTGTGTACAAAGTCAAGCTGCAGTAGCATCATGTGAAATACAATGTGTGTGAATGTGCAATGGCTTCCCTAAAAAGATTTTTCCTCTAAAATTTACAATCAATTTCCTCTAAAAAGTACGGCATTTAGAGGAACACAAGGAAAGTACTATCTGAGATTTAGGCTATGCCACTTTGTGCACGCGTCTGGATTGAGCGCCCAAGTTCATAACAGTTAGAATTGAAGTTTAAGAAATTTATGGCCCTTTGCTTTAGATTTTTACTATAGGTAAGTCTTGTTTCGTTTCGCAAGGATTTAAAAATGGGCCCTCGATCCAGATGCACACCAGAGGGCCAAATGCGAGTTCATGTTACATCAACTCGCTTCCGACGACGCGCGCGTCTGACGTTGCGGTTGGTGGAGATTTCAGTGCGGACCAATCACTGATTGGTCACCGTGACGATCTAATAGATGCAAAATAAACTCGCACACCTGGGGGTGACAGATGAAGCCATCAGTCATCCCAGCAGAAACGGGCCGGGGTGGCGGTGCGGCGTAACGTTGGAAAAGCCCTGCATGTGTCGCTTTGAGACTAACGCAATAGAGTAGTCCGTGGAGAAAAGAACGGGCGGCGCAATAACTAATTTATTTGTAGTTTTTTTTGTGGACTATAGTAGGATTATTTTCTCCGTGCAGTTTGGGTCATAAACCATAGCTCGGCCCCGGCCCGGCTAGGGCGGTGAGCATGTTGCGCGGGCGCAACGCCACTATCGATAAGAACAAATGAGTCATCAAAGGCAGGTACACGGCGGCGGAGCGGTATACAAAGGTGGTGAGACATTGTTATGTTATAAGTCATTTGTTGTTCCCCACTGCAAATTATAGTACATATGTCTAAGAGAAATGTGTTTTTGTGCATTCGCTCTCTGAATTTCTTTAGTGACACAATGGCTACTCCTTTGTTTTGTACCAAAACGGCAGAATTTATTAAAAATAATATTTTCATTTTAAATATAGGTATAAGTATTTATATTTATTCTTAACATAACTTTTTACATTCTTAACTATTGTACTTATAACAATACATACTAATAATTTATTCTTTTATTACAATATTATATCTTATCTTTTATTATTATTCTTATTTTAATAAATACGTTGTTTTATCTTTTTTTTTTAATTTGTGTCACTAACCCACAAAATGACAAAACTAAATACACTATCGATAACGCTTATCGACAACAATAATGCGCATCACTATGCCTGCCCATAAGGCTCGTGAGTGGAAGAGAGAACGAAATACTCGCTTCACCGCTCCGACTATTTATGACCCAAACTGCACGGAGAAAATAATTCTACTATAGTTGGATAATCCCTTTGGAACTTACCTTGGGAACGCAACAGCCAGGAGTACCTATGTGGTGTTTCTACTAAATACAACCGAAGGCCATAAGACTATGTAATTTTTTTTTTAAATCCTTTTTTAGTGCACACCTTCGTCACTTAAGGAAATAAGCGCAAATGAAATTTTGCGCATATGTTCTGTACTTCTAGTGCTTCTAGTCCCAGCGGTTTTAACTGTGCGTTGATCGATCAGTCAATGAATTAGTGTGTCAGTTTCTTCTTTTATATATAAAGATTGTAGTGTTTGTATACTCTTTGCTATTAAATTACGAATACACCAATATGACTGGCCAATAACTATGAAATTGACTTAATAAAAAATAAAACAGATGCCAGTATATGATAGATTCGCAGAAACTACTTCTTCTAATAATTTCGTTTTAAAATTTTAAAATGTATTTAGCGAACGTAGTGAAGATAATTCAACGAGGTATAAAAACAACGCCACCATTGCGTAATGATACAACGACTACCCGAAGACTAGCCGTCTTTAAAAAACTTCAAGCGGATTTCCAGGTAGAAGATGGCCGCCCTATCCATTTAAAAAGAGGTTTTCTCGATCGAGGCCTGTATTTAACAACTTTGGTGTTGTGTGTAGCAGGCACATTTCTTACGCTTCTTTTTGTCTATGATCATGCCAAACCGGAATCTTGGAAGGAAAAATAAATTAATGTGAAATAAAGAATTCATTTAGTTTTTTTTTCTTAATAAGTCTAAATTTTTTATCTATTATTCATAGCGGTAATAACAGAGTACCTTTCCTATCTCAGATTTATGAAGAGACAATAATGCTTGTTTGCACATTTACGTAGTACCTACTTATGTGTGTAAAAACCAGTGTCACACCGACACCGTGGGATGCCGTGCTTCGGCACATTTGGACCAGTTCGACCGAAGTGACACCAGAGCCTCACGGCCCAACCCTCTGTCCTAGTTCTGAGAGGGCGCACTCAAAAGGCGGCAACGCCATAGCAGGCGATAATACAGTTTTACAATAAAGTAAAAACCCGCTTTAGTCTTTCTACTTGAATCCCTTGGGGGGATTACACAACACTCAAGATTTCACTCTGATCGATCCCCTTTCTTTCTCTACGGGAATCCTATCGGATACTACCAGGTGTGTACCCTAGGAAGGAAATTCCTGGTATGTTAAATCCATGGGAACCACGGTATTTGATTGTTTATCAACCGTTTGTTTTTGGTTTACAAGTTATGAATCTAAGTTTGTTTTTTTTTTTAGAGGGGACTAAAAAGGAAATAAATTTATTAAGACTTGTTAAGTCCCCAACACAGGAGATCGAAGTGGAATAATGTGTTGTACAATCCCCTGAAAAATTGAGTAAGGAGATTCAAGTGCGCCTTACACAGGCGGCTAATCCATAATAAAACACCATTTGTAAATTAGCTTATTATTTTATTAGTGCAATAAGGCTTCCATATAAAAATAGCTGGCGCTACCCTGAAATGCATTAACTGAACATACAATTAAAACAAATGTTACTTCTGACACCTACAGCATGTTATATTCCGTACATCTTCGCACTAGAATGAATTACAGTCTGAACAAATCTACCATAGATATATTGATGATAAATCTATGGTCTTGACGACCTGTGGGCAATTTAAAAAAAATAGTTGAGACGTTTGACAAACTTTTTTTTTACCTTATTCTTGATAACAATATAAAGACAATAAAATATTTAAAATGTAATCTGGTTCTAACCCTATCAAATATATTTTTACACAAACGTCTCGTAATATCACGGTTGTGTATTCAAGGGGTCAGGTAGTCGGCCGTGGCATTAGCATAGATCCAATGTGGTTTATAGTTTTGTTGTGATATATATTATGTGGGTTTTGTACAAAGTTATTGTATTAATATAACTATTGGTGATACATTGATTGATGCAGACAGCTTCCAACGGATCTTGCAAGTTCACTATTAGACAGAGGCCTTTATCCATAGGGGTAATGATGACATATCTTAGAATGTAAAAAATTGTGACCTTACTGGAAAGACTCTTATTAAGAGGTCTTAGGATCAATATAGGTGTAGTTCAGAAGAATGTTATGAAGTAAAAATAAGTTCTAGTCGAACGTTTTGTAAGAGAAACGACATAACATTAATGGTCACAATGTTATATTCTGCTGAGAAATCCACTAGTCCACATTGTTATAGATTCTCTTCTTTGAAATAAACCAATCAATAATCTAGTAGATATTATGAAGTAGTTTAACTCAAATATATTAGTGGAATTAAAATAACTCTTATTGCAATGTTCTAAGATGCAATTTAATTATTTTTTCTTAACGCCATTAAAAGTTATAGCTAGCCTTTTCTCTCCAATTTGCGGGGCATTGCAATTTTGAAAGGCCTACTAAGTCGAGACAAATTGTTATTAAAATTTAACTAGACAAATTGGCCTAGTTTTGGAGTGTCACTTTATGAAAATAGTAATATACAACAAAATAACTTTTGACAAAACAACCATGTTATCAGGCGTTTTATTGTTAAAATACATATTAGAGTAAAATAATAGAAGTTATTACATATTATTATTAAATAATACTTTATTCGATAGAGTCGGCCGGCGAGCGCACGTCGTCAATTTTGAGTATCATCTTGACGAGTTGTGTGGCCAGGGATATTTGTTGTTTCTTGGAGTGCAGAGACTCTATCACATTCATGGTTTTCATATCATTTGAGCCTGGGGAAGAGATTATGAGAGAAATTATTTAATATTACGTTTCTAGTATTACTTAACTTGAGGCGAACATGATGTCAGAGGCATTTTGTAAGGTATTTTAATAGACTCATTCTCTTGATCTATAAGGCTTTACTGTAAGTAATGTCAACTATTTACCACTGCTGTGTAGAATAATTACCTGTGCCCATACAGTCGATGCCAAGATTAGGGTTATTTTCAGCCACCTGCCGCGCCTTCACCTCGGAGAGTGTGTCGATCGGGGACAGACCACTATTGACAAATGCATATAATTAGTAAAATCCAATGAAAAAATATTTTTTGTCTAGATAATAGAGGATGTAGTTTCAATACAAAGAGAATCTTCACATCAGGCGAGGTGAATTTTTAATACGAGATACAGGATCAGTAGGTTGTAGTTCGGTTCGACTGATGACACTTAATTGCTGGAGAGCGCGAGGTAGAATTTGATATTCAGAGAAAGAGAAAAAAAAAAGTTTTAACGAACGATATCCATAAAGGTCATGAATATCAGATAGAATAGTAGTGTTTTTTCTAAACTCGGTTCGCGTTAAGCTACGTTGTCGAACAATTTCTTCTTGATAAAAAAGCTATCCTTATACCAGATTTCATGCAGATTTAGTTTAACTGTCCTAGGATGGAAAAGTGACAAACATGATACATAAATGGTCACAAAGTTATGCGTTCATTAAGCAAATGGGATTATAAGTAAAAATAGAAATACTGGTAGAAAATAGTTACGGAATGAAGTCCACCTTTGTCACGTTTATAATAACAAATAATGTACGAAATATCCATCTAGTTTCAAACTAAGCAGAGTTTGTAACTATGAAAACTAGATTGATTGCTAGAATACTTTTTTCTTAAACACACATATTTTACATAGAAAACATCCAAACTCCGAAACATAAAATTTGAAAATTATACAAACATTCGGTCCGACCCGGGTATCGAACCAGGGACCTCAGATCTGTAGTGGCATAGGCTGCCACTGCACCACCGAGGCAGTTTATATGTGCATAAGTAACGGGTGGTACCTGTTCTCGGCGAGCGCGAGCGGGATGGCCTCGAGCGCGTCGGCGAAGGCGCGGTAGGCGTACTGGTCCAGCGACGACAGCTTGTCCGCGCCGCGCGCCACCGCCAGCGAGCACGCCACCTCCGCCGCGCCGCCGCCGTACACCACGCGCGAGTCCTGGCGGACCACATCTTATAACCACCACCTCACAGGAAACCGCCGTTACACCATTCTTTCTTCCCCAAGTAACTGCAGTTTCCGGAACCTAAACCCTCCCCTCCTCCCTGATTCGCGCACTTGTGTTGCAAATATCTATGAGCGGCGATAGTCACTTACCATCAAATGACGCAGCTACTCGTTTGCCTCCCTGTACCATGGAATCAAGTGTTCAATACTTTACAACCTCATAACTCTAGTACTCTTTTAATGCAACCTTCCTATATTACATTTTCTTTGACTTCTCTGTTTTGCACAATTTAAATATAAGATGATAAAAAACAAACATTTATGATAATATTTTAATAAGATACAAAACTAAATCTTGCAATCAAATAACTACGAGGGGTGATCAATAAGTAATGATAATCGAGTATTTCTAGAACGCACAAAAACCCAAATTATTTTTTTTCTGCTTGCTTATATATCCACTACTTCAGCTTCAAAAAAATGTATAAATAGGACACCATTACCGGGAGATACATTCATTTGAATACGAACTGTCGAAGAGAAAACATCAAAATGGAGAAAAATGAAATAAGAGCTGTCATCAAGTACCTCTGCTGAAAAAAATGTCTACCAAAGACATACACAGCGACTTAGAGGAAACATTGGGGGAGTCTGCTCCTCCATATTCCACAGTCGCACGCTGGGCAAAGGAATTTAAGCTGGGCAGAACCTCCACTGAAGATGAACATCGCGAGGGACGCCCTTCCACGTCCCTTACTGGAGAAAACGTCAAAAAAGTGGAAGACATCGTGTTGGCCGATCGAAGGGTGACCGTAAGGCATGTAGCTGAGGTCACAGGGATCTCCTATGGCAGCGTTCAAAAAATCATTGTCAACAAAATGCATATGAAAAAGGTCTCTGCGCGTTGGGTACCGAGAATGTTAACCGACGAGCAAAAAAGAAACCAGTCGACATTTCGAGGGTGAATCTTCAAAAGTTCCAGGCCGATAAAGAATTTTTTTTGTCGCGTTTTGTGACCATGGACGAGACCTGGATCCACCACTTTGATCCCGAAACCAAACAACAATCAATGACTTGGAAACGAGCTTCCTCACCAACGCCGAAGAAATTCAAAGTGTCAAGTTCAGCGGGAAAGGTTATGGCGTCTGTTTTCTGGGATGCAGAAGGAATTATTATGGTGGAATATTTGGAAAAGGGGGCCACTATAACAGGCTCTTACTACGCAGGCCAAATAAGAAGATTGCGAGAAGCTATTAAGTCAAAAAGACGCGGTAAACTGCGCGCTGGAGTGCTGTTTCACCAAGACAACGCCCCGGCTCACAAAGCCGCAGTTGCGATGGCTGCCATTGAAGAAACGGGGTTCGAACTGCTCGAACACCCTCCCTATTCGCCAGATCTAGCTCCCAGTGACTTCTACCTCTTTCCTCGGCTCAAAGAACACCTCCGGGGCAACAAATTTGAGGACAATAGTGAAGTGATGGCCGCAGTAGAGGCATTTTGGGAGGGTCAGACAAAGAATTTTTTTCTAAGGGAATCATGGGCTTAGAAAAAAGATACACTAAATGTATTAACTTGCAAGGAGACTATGTTGAAAAATAAAATACTTTTTTTAATCTAATAGTTCTGTTTCATATTGATTATCATTACTTATTGATCACCCCTCGTATATGTCGTCACATTTACCTGTACAAGACTTCGAACGATACACAGAGCGTCGTGCACAGAACGCTTCGCCTCCTCCACAATCATGCGGTTTCCTCCCCTCATGAGCACTGTCACAGCCCGGCTGTTAGAGCACTCTTCGATTACCAGCATCTCTTCCTTAGACGTTCCAAATGCTGTTAAAAAAATGTAATGTTTATGATTTCCAAAATATCTATCTACCTTTTAAATTCAGACATATAAAACACTTACTGAGTTCCCTAACCAGTCCACAAGAACCAAGTTTGTCCGGAGTCAACTCCTCGAATCTTGGTACGATTCTGCCTCCAGTCGCAATAGCGATAAGCTCCATTTCAGGTCCTCCTACCCAACGTACGGCAGGTAGGCCCTGGGATAAGAGGAGATGGTTTGCTTCGTCGTCGAAGCCGAATTGGCAGATAGCCAGGGTCGCTCCAGCATCCTAGAGACAGATAAATGATTTTATTAATAATCTCTATCAATATTGTAAAGCTGAAAAGTTTGTTTTGGTCGAATAAGCTAATCTCAGGAAATAATAGTCCGAATTAAAAATAAAATTTTATTGTTAGATAGGCCATTCATCGAGTAAGGCTATGGGCTATATAACATCACGATACGAGCAATAGAGGCGGCGAAATTAACGAAAAAATTGGCAAAAATGGGAAAGTTTGTTCCTTTTGAGCGGGTCAGCTAGTTGTAATTTAAATTGGTTAAGTTGTGATAGGATAAGTCAGAAGGTTATAACTGTAAAAGCCGGCTTATATGAAAAGTTTAAGGACTGTAGAGAAAAATTGGGAGGTCTGTAGTTTAGCTAGCCAGTGCCTGCCACTTCCCTTGCCTAGAATCTCCCCCACACAAACTTTCATCCCTTATTTCACCTTATATACAGATATTACTAGTGATGCACCCCAGCTTCAGGTTTAATTAAGAAGAACCATAATTCTATTGAATGTCCATCATTTAAATCATTCCAATAATCATTTCCATGCAAAGACGACGACGGAAGAGACTTTTCTACTTAAACATCATGTGTCAGTTTTGTTCTGCAAATATTTTCAAGAATTGTCTTACCTTAACACGTCGCACCATCTCCAAGAACTTCTCGTGCTCGTACTGTCTGAGTTCTTTGTACTCATCGACGGAGCCAACTTGGAGCTTATGCTTGGTCTTAGGCTTGGGCGGCTCGAACGGGCAGGGTCAAGATGGCGAGTTTTACATCCTGGACAATAGCAATCAATCAGTATCTTACATTTGAGCTTTTATTTTCAAGTTGTTAAGACCAGCTGAAGCTTCTAATGGAAGAGTGATTAGGCTCACTGTACAGTGTGAAATTGATAACACACATTGGAAGTAAAGTCTTAATAATAAGTTGTAACAATTGTGACTGGCCAATCAGGTTCTAAGAAATAATCTTTTCATACGAAATTGTATACAGACTGTGATGTACCTTTTAACGAATCTGTAAACAGCATATTCTGCACTTTATTTCTAGACGATTTGCAAAATATGAACAAAAAATATTCAGTGGTTTGGAAACAGGACATTTTTAGTTTTCGTAATTTAAGGTATGTGTATGTACATATAATATACATAATACCTTACGCGGCGATCAGCTGTATACGCGACGCGGTAATCACACGTTGCCGCTTTTACTACACTTGAATCGAACGAAATTTGTTAATTATTACGTCATCAGGATGAAGGTCATGCGTTTTTAATTAGTTCATCCAGTAAGTACAGTCAGTCCGCCCTTGGCCATCGGCGAGTGTTATGCTGTTCTGTGTCCTTGTAGATGCGGTCACGAAAAATTAGCGTAATAACAATATTGTTGTTGTTCGTGAGATATTTGTTTAGAAGAGTTTGGTTGTGTTAATAATTGTTTAGTCTTATTGCTTTCGTCATAATACACGGCAATGGTGTGAACAATTAATGTTATCGTGTGCGCAAGACTTTGTGTTGTAACGAGTGCCACTAATTTTATTTTAAAGTGTCAATATTAGGTTATGTGTGTCGTGTAGTGTGAAATTGAGTGAATTATCAGTCTTTTTTATATTATTGGGTTATCGGTATCAACATCCATAATGCCGTGAGTAACCTTCACAGCCGAGGGATACCCTGACATGATGTTAATTTACGGGGAACTCTTTCAAAACGCATCTTTAGCTTTACGGACAAACCGCGGTATGGAATCAATCGTGTATGTCCTACGGATTGTCGAATTTTAGTTAGGGCGGTACAAGGATTACGAGACAACCAAAGTATCTACTTTTTCAAGGGTGAAAGTACTGCGGGGGCCGAAACTATCGAGCTCCCAAAATAACCGTAATGAAATAAAATAAATAGATTTAATAAAAGATTTAAAAAAACCCAAATAAAGTGATTAAAAGGGAGGAATAAGAATGTAAATTTTTGCCGGCTGTCGCGGCGGCGGGGGCGGCGTCGCTTTATGTCGCCGCATTGCGACCTCCCGGGACAGTTTACCGCCTCATGTTAAAAAATTTTTTTTCTAAATTTGGCAATTGTTTTATTGTATTTTTTTTTTTCTAATTTTAATTTTTGTATTTTCGTACTAATTTTTTTATTTTTTAACCGACGTATCAATATAGTCGGGTTAAAAAACCGTTGTCCGGTGTGCCAAACTGGTGTTTTAGTTTTTTTGATAACCCTTTATCAAATTAATACTATAAGCAAGCACAGGATTATAATAATCACGAAGGAATCCCAAAATTTTTTTTAGCTTGAGTTTTTCTTAAAGGCTCAATAATAAAGGTAACAGATTTGATACAGGCAGGCATTTTTTTTTTTTGAAAAGGTGATTTTTTTTACGAATAGGTTTGAATTTAGAAACCTTTGGCAGCGGACACAAAAGATATCAGATGCACAAATTTTGTCATTTGAAAAATTTTAACATACCTTCAAAGTCTTTGCATTTTGGAGGGCTCGGGTTTTGGGGTCAAGAAAACCCCTTTTTACTACATAGGTCCCCCTCCGACCGCCCACCTTGCTTCTCCCTTTGATGAGCTAAAATTTTACGTCACGTTCTCTATCACTAAAAGATAGGACACCCTTTTGAAAAAAATGAAATTTTAAAATTTCCAGCTTTAATTGACACACAACAACCCGTATCTTCAGTGATCCCCTCACAAAACAAACCTTTTTAAAAGTCCTACAGTGATACTTATAATTACAGTATATATTATTTTTTTTTGTGAAATAAATTTTTTGTTTTCATCATGATTTTTTAAGATGGTTTTCTTTTAAAAAGTTTTATTACATTGAAAAACAGTTGCACAATAGTATGTCAATATTTAAAATACTGTCAAGAAAAAAATAACTGTTTTTTCTTTAAATATTTATCCCGGGTTTTATAATTTCCCAAAAAAACCTTAATAAATACTTTTATAAACCACTTAAATTTTGTTTTTGTATTTGCCGTTTGTGCGCAAATAAAGACTTTATTTTTTTTAGCACTAAGCAAAAAAATTTTGGTATGGTTGTCGTTTTTTAATACTTAACTCGGGAGCTTTTAACCCAAAACAAGAAAACAAAAAGGCGGTACTATTCGTTTGTTGGTGCTAATGACTTTTGGGGAACAGCAAATCACCCTTACCACAATAAATCGTTTTTTCGTTATTTTTTTTTTATGAACATAATGAAATAAAAAGAGAGGGGCCCGGGTCCCTGATTAGGGCATCTCTCCTCGCGGGTTTGGGAAATTTTGCGCGCGTTTGCCGCGTGTAATTTATGCGCAGTTTTAAAAACAAAAAAATTTATAATAGTATTGGATACTTACATCAACGCATCCGCCCCAACCGGTGAAATTTCACAAAAACCCTTTACCAAAACCAGGGGGTCATCGCCCCCTTTTGATAAATGCTCCCTTTTCCTTGTCACGGGGGAAAGCTTCCTGACCCCATCGAGGGGCTAGACCGTCGCTGCGGCCCAATTCAAAAGCCGTGGGCAATGCATTGGTAAATTCCCTGTCAATAGTTGAGCTTGTCGGGGGGGACCACATAAAATTTTGAGATTTACTTGTCGCTTAATTATGAAATAAAGACTCATGAATTTGGTGAAATTAAAATGAAAGCATGCAGCTGTTTTGTTTGACCAATGACTGCTCATGGTGGAGTACATTCAAAGCAAATTTTATGGGCTACCCAAAAAGCCAAGTTTGTAAATTTAGAGGTAAAAACAAAAAAAAATTTCTTGTCATGCAGGTTATTCCTAGAAGCCTGTCAAAGTACCAGAAGGACTTGGTGATAATAAAAGCGGCACAGACATATAATGGAATATATATAATAACTTAACAAAACATTTGCAAAAAGCTTTTTTTTGGGTTTACTATACTTTAGTCAAGTATTCAAAAAAATTTTTAAAAAATTTATGACATAAAAAGTTTTTAAAATAATTTTTTAAAAAAAAGGCTCTACCAATACCAATGCTCCTTACTTGATAAAATTCTCTCTAATTTTTTTTAAGGGGAAAACAAGAAAATAAAATTTATCACCCCCAAAAACCACAACTCCCTAGTCCATCTCCAATCTCATATCCTGACTCTGTGCAAGTTGTACCCGGAGTTTTCCAAACTATTTCTACACCATAAACTTTAGAATTGTGGGCCCCTCTTGTTCATTAATCACCATCGGGATACCAAAGCTTGTCTAGCCACGGGGTCCAAGAGATGTGCGGAGTACTCGCTTTTGTCGTGTGCTTGGATATCGAGTTTCAATGCATAATTAATATTTATAAAAACTTCTGTCATAGGTTTTAGTATGTAAATGATTCTTATTAAAAAAAAAAACATTTATTTTTTTTTTCCCCCATTTATTTTAGAAATTTATTCTCATCTAATAAATTTTTTATTATTTATTTGAGAACTTTACACAAAATTTTGGATCTGGGGTCTTTGCATGGATGGATTTTTTACACAGATTATACCTTTAAACAAAGATATCTTTGAGACCTTCAACACATCACAGATTTCATGGTGTCAAAAAACACACAACACATTTAAATTTTTGTCATCATTAGTGCCTGTGAAGAAATTTCAATTCAAAATTTAATTTTTTTTTTTTGTATGGTTAATTTCATAAGGTTTCCATATTTTTTTTAGCCCCAAGGGACTTTTTTGTTTTTGTCCTTCTAAAGGCTGTAATAAATTGTTTTTTTTAGTACGGCCTTTTGTAAAATAAATACATTTTAGTGTTTTCTTTTTTAAAAAAAAATTTTTGGTTTTTTGTTTTTTCATTAATTTCCCAAAACAAAATTTTAGCCCAAAAAAAAAATA